GCATTGCAGACCTGAATCAAAATATCTCACATAACCCATAAATATGTATACCTACTATGTGCCCACAAAAATTAAAAGCAGCCAGGGAGAGAGGAGCTGTTTTGGGGATATCACCAATAGAACATAAATATAGGCCAAGGTGAGGGAATATAAAGGGTCTGGTTAACTTCGTAGAACCAAAGAAAGGGAACAAATATCAGAATAATCCCACAACAAATTATCCCTCCATACTAACAATAAAACTAGCTACCACATTTGGAGATTTCATAGTGGCCTAGGTCCCTCACAGAAGCAATCCCATTTAATTCTGACAAAAACCATGTGAGGAAAGGACTAATAACCTGTTTTACAGATGGAAAAACTGAGGTTCAGAGATAAGTGACTTGGCCAAGTCACAAAGCTCATAAGTCATGCTACTTGAAATTCAGGGACATATGGCTCTTTGATACTGGGTTATCCTGCCTCTCTTATGATAGATGATAGAGGCCCTACTTCCAGGGATCAAAGATGCCCAAATTAATTGCCAAGTTTAATTACAGTAAATCCTGAATTGAAAGGTTCTGTCTTCTTGACACTAAGCGATGAGGACTAGTTATCACTTTTACTCCCATTCCCTCTTTCTAATGTAGTAATTTTAGAAGCACCTCTTGAAGTTGGGTCTGGCACCAAGCTTTTACAAACTGCAATTATTCAATAGACGTGCTAATTTTATTAGTCTTTGGGAGCTTGCCTAAAATTTTATGAAGTGTATGTGTATTTTTGTGTATACAGTGGAAAAGGCTGAGGAAGAGAAATATAGCTCATAATTCCTCCTGTGGTGGTCGACAGAAGTGGTTAAAGAGAAAAAATATAGAGAACTACTACAAAGTAAAATGTTTTCCCAAAAGGTAAAATAGCTACAGCAAAGAAAGGCTTAAAATATGTCAAAATGCTTTGTTTTGTTCTTTTTTTGATAGAAAGTTATGGAACTAGAAAGCCACCTAATATGATTAGTTATTAGGTTGACAAACTAATGAATTCAGAATCAAGCCTTTAGTCAAACCTGTCAGTTTCACCCACGCGTGGTGGCTCATGCCTGTAATCCCAACGCTTGGGGAGGCCAAAGCAGGAGAATCACCTGAGGTCAGGAGTTTGAGACCGGCCTGGACAACACGGTGAAACCCCATCTCTACTAAAAATACAAAAATGAGCTAGATGTGGTGGTGTGCACCTGTAATCCCAATTACTCAGGAGGCTGAGGCAGGAGAATCACTTGAACCCTGGAGGCGAAGGTTGCAGTGAGCTGTGAGCCAAGAGCGTACCACTGCACTCCAGCCTGGGTGACAGAGCAAGACTCCATCTCAAAAAATAAATAAAAAAAATAAAAAAACCTGTCAGTTTAAATTTATAAGCTTATAGTGTAATAAATCTCATATTGTCTTATAGATAAAAATTACATGTTACTAGCATTTACTTTCATATTTTGAAGCAGTAATTGGTACTTTATAAACTTATAACAAGATTTTCCCTCATAAATCTAAGCTTAAATGTGATGATTTATACTAGAACCGAAGTCACTACTGTTTAATATCACATATGAAAGGAAATTAGATTATAGAATAACAGATATAGATGATGATAGGATTATAATTCCATTTCTAGATGGGGAATTTTGTATCATTGATTTTGTACATTCTGTTAAAGACAGCACCAGGCCAACTAAATTGGTGACTTTTCAGTAGCTGTGCTGAAGTGATTTTAGGAGTAATAATGTTGTTCATGAGGAAAATCCAAATAAAGGGAATCATGTGAAATTTACTACATGAAAAAGTTCGTTTCTTTAATTTTAATAATTGTCAGATTTTTTATGACCTAAAACTATTCTATGGCATACAGTAATGGTTTATAATCTAGGTTTGAAGCCCTTCTGGATATCCTAAAGCAAAACAACAAGGTATGCTGATGGACAGTTCCTGGCTCTTTTCACAGCTACTACTTAAAGGTCTGAGATTGTTCATATAAAAATATAACAACTAGGTGGCATTTACTACATTTAAGTCCTGTACTAAAGAACCATGCATACTATCATTTTATAGCTGAAACTGAGGCTCAAAGAGGTAAAGTGATTTGCTTAAGGTCACCTGGCATGCAAATAGCAGAGGTAGGTCCCAAACGCTGATCTTCCGGGGTATTCTATCCATCAGAGGTACTTGGGCCTCTCTTTGTCTATAATGCTGAGTACTGGCTTACACCACTGACAACATTATATTTGCTTGTTGTTAATTTGTTTCCTAATCTTTAAGTGTTGTTAATGTATACGTATTTATTAGACCTCTCAACAGAGGATATGTTAAACCACAACACTGGTATTATACAACAAAATTTAGACTGGTAAACTGCAGACACGACCAGTTTCTTCAATAAAGAATTTCAAGAAAAAAAAGTAGGACTGGGTACCTGCGTTAGTCTGTTTTCATACTACTATAAAGAACTGCCCAAGACTGAGTAATTTCAAAAGGAAAGAGGTTTAATTGACTCAGAGTTCAGCATGGCTGAGGAGGCCTCAGGAAACTTACAGTCATGGCAGAAGGCAAAGGGGAAGCAAGGCACCTTCCTCACAAGGCAGCAAGAAGAAGAGTGAGTGAGTAAAGGGAGAAGAGCACTTAATAAAACCATCAGATCACCTGAGAACTCACTCACTGTCAGGAGAATAGCATGGGGGAAACCACCCCCATGATTCAATTACCTCCACCTGGTTCCTTCCTCGACACGTGGGGGTTGTGGGGATTACAATTCAAGATGAAATTTGAGTCAGGGCACAAAGCCTAACCATAGACATTAAAAAGGACAAGAGACACACCAATCACTGTATTTTGGAATTTGTTTGGATCCTGATTTGAAAAAAAAACTGCAAAAAAATTATTAGACAATCAGAGAAATTTGAACAGTGTATATTTAATGGGATTAAGAAATTTTTGTTAATTATTAGGTGTAACAATGGGATTGTGGTTAAATATTTAATATTTTAAGATTCTTTAAAAAGTGTTTATCTTTTTTTTTTTCCCCCAGACTGAGTCTCTCTCTGTTGCCCAGGCTGGAGTGCCGTGGCATGATCTTGGCTCACTGCAACCTCTGCCTCCTGATTTCAAGCGATTTTCGTGCCTCAGTTTTCTTGTTCCTCAGTCTCCCAAGTAGCTGGGATTTCTGGCTTGCACTACCACGCCTGGCTACTTTTTGTAGTTTTAGTAGAGACGGAGTTCTGCCATGTTGGCCAGGTTGGTCTCGAACTGCTGATGCAAGTGATCCGCCCACCTCGGCCTCCCGAAGTGCTGGGATTACAGGCGTGAGCCACCACCACGTCTGGCCAAAAAGTCTTCATCTTTTAGAAGTACGTATCCAAAAAAATGAATTGATGTGATGTTGGGGATTTCCTTAAAAATAATATAACAGATGAAGATGATTGGTCTTAAGTTGTTAATTGTCGAAGCTGGGGTCTGGGTACCTGGGGGTTCATTATATCATTCTGCTTTCTTTAAAGTATGTTTGACATCTTCCACAAAAATCATGCATTGTTCAATGATGAATGCAAAGTAGATCATTACTTTGATTTTACATTGAATAGTGCTTCATTTTAAGAATGCCTGTGACAGGACCTGAAAGGACCTTAGAAGTAATTAGTCCAATCTCCACATATTTCTCCTTTTCTTTTGGGCAGAAAGCAAAGAAGAAAGAAGAAGAAGAGGAAGAAGAAAACAATAGTGATGTTGTATTATTTGCTCTCAAAATAACTTCTACATTTACAAAACAAGAAAGTAATAGGAGAAGCCGGACTTATGTTCACTACCTAGTGCCATCTCTACAGCTTTATTTTTCTATTATGATTTACTTTTGTTTTCTGAAGCAGAATCTTTCCCAAACTTAATAGTGTCCACGATCGCTCCAACCAATTTGGTTATGTAGGTTTCAAGCTAGATAACCTCCAAAATAATTTTGCCTTTGACTTGAATACATGCTTCATGCAATTTGAGTAGTATTTAGGAGGCCGTTCCCTTTACAAGTCTTGAACCATTTCTTAAGTCTGAATTTGGGAGACGTTAAGTGGAAAGGATTGGCAGACAGCATCTCAATGCCTTGTTTATGTTTGGTTTTGACTTTGCTAGTAACTTTGTGATCGGGGGTGGAAGAACCTATACCTTTATATTTCATTGCCCACGTGACAATGTTTTTGTTTTAGGGGGAATTTCTAAGGACAGGAAATTCTCGGGGAGTTTACGTCAGCTGCAACAAGTACTGTGATTACCGTATTGACGCTACTTGTTTTCAAAGGTTGGAAATTTGAGGTGCCGCGTGAGCACGATTTAGGGACTTTAGAGTTTAGATTTAAGTTATTATTTTTCTGTGATTTAATTTTTAAAGCAGTGTTGACACTGGGTACCTCAACTAAGCTAGGTTTTTTTGTTTTTTTAATTCCCACTAACACAACTCTCAGGTTGTCGCTGAGGCACAAAGCACGTAATACGCTACACTCTTGCTCCTTATAGGCTACGCAGTTTCAGGAAGCGTTTACAGCAGTAGTGCGCCTGCGCAGCTGGTCCCACACCAAGTCGTCCGCCTCTCCCCGTCCGGCTAGCAGAGGGCGCTGTGAGGTAATGAAGGCGTCCCCCTTAGGGCTCTGGAACAGAGCGTAAAAGGGCGGGAGGCGAAGCTCGCTGACGGGCGTTCTAGCCTTGACTGCTCTGTCTCTATCACCCTTTGTCCTCCAACCTCCCCTGGGCACTGGGCCTGCGGGCCTGGTTGCTAGGCGGAAGCTGGGCGCGGCGGCTGCCGCTGCGGCCGCCGGGGCGTTTGAAAAGCGGCTACGCAGGCGGCAAAAGGTCCTCGGGCGGCGGGCTAGTCTCTGCCTGCAGACTGGCAGGGCTGCAGAGCGGCTTTTTCCTTGAGTCGGGGCAGAGTTAGGGTCTGGGCTGGCGGCTCGGGGCAGAGGAGCCGGGCGCGCTGCAGCAGACGGCGGTGGGACCTGGCTGCGGAGCGGGGTCCGGGCATCAGGGACCGGGACCCGGGGCGGGCAGTGGGGGTCCCGCCGGGGGTCTCAGATTACCCGCGACTTACCTGGACCTCACTTCCCCCCAGGCGACTTCGCCCCCAGACCGCCCACCGCAACCATGGTCTCCAAATCCGACCAACTGCTCATCGTCGTGTCCATCCTAGAAGGTGAGCGGCCTGAGGCTTGCTTTTGCAACTGCTGCCTCCCGAGTTTTAAAAGATTAGTGTGGGACCGAGGCCTTGTTAACCTTAAGAACCCTGTCATCTGTGTTTTTATGGTCCCCACAGACTTGTTCAAAGTTGTACGTAGTGAAGTCTGTTAGGCAATTGATTTAAAAATCTCTCCAGGGATATGAGCGCTATTAGGAATAAGTGATATTTAGCGTAACTAGCCATAGCCCCAGAGAATCTAGAGAAAACGATTTTCATCCAAAGCAGCACGTCGATGGCTTTTATATATGAGCTGAACGTGGTCCTGAGAAGCGCGTTTTGATCAGCGGTTCCCAATAATAGCACTTGTAAGAGCTTTGACTTGAATACAGGTTTCCTGCAATTCCAGAGTGTTGCGGAGGCAATTGCCTTTACACGTCTTGGTGGAGGACTCAGGGGACTACAGTTCTTAAGAGGGTATATTATACATTTCTTAAAAAGTGTGTTTTGGGTGAATGACATTTGTTTATTGGGGACTCATTGAGTGTCAGACACTGTGCTGGGAATGTAATAATAACAGTCCTGATTCTAAAAAGCTAAGGATGTAGCTTGGAGAGTGTGTCAGCAAATAATTCATCGGGATATGAAAGACCCTGATGAATGACCACCTCTGTCTGAGGAAATTGGGGAAGATTCACCAGAGGAGGTGGCGTTTTTTTGGGTCTTACAGATGATTAGGAATGTGTCAGGTGAAAAAGGGAAGGGCATTCCAGGCAAAGGGAAGAGCAGAGAGCACTTCAAGTATGGAAAAGCAAGACGCGTTTTGCTTTGCTTCATTATATTCATTCAGTAAATGTTGCTTACATTCAGTGTAGTTGGAGAACAGATTTGCAAGAAAGTGGAGAGCAGAGGAGATAACAGGTGAATTGAGGACACTTTACGAATAATATGTTAAGAAGGAGTCATCTTGAGCCAGAGCAGAGGCCTGGCTGCATTCTTTCCCCCATGGGAGAGTATTTTATAAAGGCCTGGCGCTGTGTGAGGGACGAGAGCAAAGGAAACATTGTAATCCTAATCTTTGAATTTTGGGACAAGAGACTGACCAGAAGCCATAAAGATTTGGAGCACTATTAGCTGTTAGGTTACTTATTGTTTAAAAACGCAGGACTGAAATAACCTTCAAATTTGGTTAACAACACTTTTTAGACTTAAAACTGACCATGCTATGAGAAAACAAACATCTACTTTCCCTCCAAGGATGTAGAGGTCTGTCCATGTGGGGAGATCACAGGACACAATATGTTGGGGTATAATATAATATTTAAAATATGTGATATGGATTGTAAATATAGGTTTGAGGGTAGGGTGGGCGGGATGGCTGAAGTTCTTTAAGTAATAAGTGAGCTTTAGATATGTGACAGTTGAATTCTATGGACGACCCAGGCCAATCTGACAACCCAGGACATACATGCAGTTCATTTGGGGAAGCTGGTTTTAGAGCAGCAGAAAATGAGGTCCTGAGAGAGGCCTGTTAGTGCTAACTGGGAGAGCCCTGCCATGTGTGTTAATATTCCTGATACAAAGTTTCAAGTGAGAGCCTCAGGCTTAAACTAAAAACGTTAGCAGTCAAGGTCTTTCTGACCAGCTTGATTCCCAACCAAGTAACTTGTGCCAGGGTGAGCATGGTGGGTGGAACATTGAAAAGATCAGCAAGATGACCAGGGTGAATATTTAGAAATGTCATGGTAAGAAATGAGCTTGTACAACTAGAGCAAATGGGCCTTGAAAGCCAGTTTAGAATTAATGTTCTAAGAAATAGATTGGCCTCATGTATTCCTAAATAGAATGCTTTTCTCGAGTTCAGTTTAGTAGCAGTGTGCAAGGAAGAGAACCTGGAGTCAAGGATGTCAGTTAGGTTGTTACCACAAACATACCCGAAACTAGCATGTGGTCCTTCCTCCAAACTATTCTTCTCTTTTGTTTGTACTGTATTTCCATTCATCATAACCATGCTGTTGCCTCAAGCCAAGAACCTAGGAGTCATCCTCAGCCTGGATTCACTCTCCATTTCTAACTTCCAGATGGTCACCATGTAAAATTGATTTTATTTCTGAATAATAATAGATTCTACATGTAAGTTTTTGAATGAATGAGTTTCCATTGTGAGTGCCTTGGTAAGGGGCGCTCATCATCCACCTAACTTATTGTAATAATCTTTTCAATAGTCTGATTCTTGAATGTTTTCTTCCTTTCCAGAAACATCTAGACTTCCTCCATTACTCACTGGGGATAATCTTTCTGAAATGCAAATCTGATTTTCTTAAAGTCCTTCAGTGTCGTAAAGGGTTATGTCTGTATTTCTCAGAATGGCATACATGGCCCTTTGTGGTAGACCTCTTGCCTACCTTTTCAGTCTCATTTCCCCTCATGTATTCCCAGCTCTTCGGATTGGCGGAGGACTCGGGACTATAGCCCTTAAGAGTTACTTGCAATTTCTTGACTACACTTTTAGAAATGCCCTTTATTCAAAAGAAAATGGTTAAGCTTTTACCATGTACAAAATTTGGGCTATGTACTAGATTCCAAAGAGGAAGAAGACGGTTTCTATTCTCTCTGTATCACTTTCCGCTGCAAGGCAGGCACCTGTTTGTTCCACTTCACATCCTCTGTTCTCAAGCTTGTTGGAAGCTGTTGGTTCTAATAATATGGAAAATGTAGGTTCTTTGACGTATATGACATTTCATTTGAGGAACCTGGGTATCTTTTGGAGCAGCAGAAATGAGGTCCTGAGAGGGGCCTCTGTTAATGCTAGTTGAGAGAGCTGTGTGATGTGTGTTAATACTCCCAATACAGTTTCAGTGAGAGCCTCAGGCTTAAACTCACAAGGTTAGAGTCAAGGTCTTTTTAACAGCTTAATTCCTACACTTCCCCCACAAGTAGCTTGCGCCAGAGTGAGTAGCAGCAGGGATTTCTTTATTAATCAGTGGATAAAATTCCCCTCACTAGGATCCACCTTACCAGATTTATAAACAGGAGGACTAGTTGACTCAGGGCAAGATTCTTAGTGTTTCTTCGTTGATGTTCTTTAGCTTTCTGTTTTCAGTTTTTTTGGTTGTTTCTCTTAACTAGACCCTCAGGTTTTTTAGAGCAAGTACTCTGTTTTACTCATTTTGCACTCCACCATCTGATATAATACCTGACTCTGAATATGTCTTCAGTAAACATTGATGAAATGGGGTTTAGCAGTACAAATGAAAAGTGATGTGTAGATAGAATATTTGAATACTTCTTGATAGTATACAATGTTGTCCTTGAGAATAGAATGAAGGAATCTATGTGGCTATTTTTCTTTAGCTAATTTGGAAAGTATGCTTTTTTTTTTTTTTTTTTTTTTTTTTTTGAGACAGAGTATTGCTCTGTTGCCCAGGCTGTAGTGCAGTGACAGGATCTCGGCTCACTGTGATCTCTGCCGCCAGGGTTCAAGCTATTCTCCTGCCTCAGCCTCCCGAGTAGCTGGGGCTACAGGTGCGTGCCACCACGCCTGGCTAATTTTTTGCATTTTTAGTAGAGACAGGATTTCACCAGGAAAGTATTCTTAACTGAGTTAACGGAAAAATTAAGATGCAGACAAGTTTGTTTTTACTAATTTATTTCCCAGCTCTTCAGATGACTGTTCTCTATTAAGTACTGCTATAGTAATATCTAAAATTCATGTAATCACATTAAGTCTTTAATTCCAGATGTTGTTGAGATCATTCCTACTCAAAGTGTGAACAGCATTCACACCTTGGATCTTGTTAGAAATGTGGAATCTTAGGCCCACCCTAAATCTACTGAGTCAGAATCTACATTTTAACAGGGTCCCTAAGTGATTCATGTGCACACTAATGTTTGAGAAGCACATATTTGTAAATTATAGCTTTCTATTTGATTCATGTGTCTTATGAATTATGAAGGTGGGTGTATTTGTGAGCCTGCATTAGTGAGGTAGCTTATGGAATGTCAACCACACTTAACAGATACTAGTTTTAAAAAACGCATGCTAGGCTGGGCGTGGTGGCTCATGCCTGTAATCCCAGCACTTTGGGAGGCCGAGGTGGGTAGATCACCTGAAGTCAGGAGGTCCAACGTGGCAAAACCCTGTCTCTACTAAAAATACAAAAATTAGCTGGGTTTGGTGGCAAGCGCCTGTAATCCCAGCTACTCGGGAGGCTGAGGTAGGAGAATCGCATGAACCTGGGAGGCAGAGGTTGCAGTGAGCTGAGATTGCACCACTGCACTCTAGCCTGGGCAACAGAGTAAGACTCCATCTTAAAAAAAACCAACCAAACAAAAAAACACATGCTAAATGATCCTGTTTGATTTTTGTACACTTTTGATTAATCTGTATATTCTGTTTCTCCAGGTCGCCATTTCCCCAAACGTCCAAAGCATATGCTTGTAGTGGAAGCAAAGTTTGATGGAGAACAGTTGGCTACTGATCCTGTGGACCACACTGACCAGCCAGAATTTGCTACTGAGTTAGCCTGGGAAATTGACAGGAAGGCACTTCATCAGCACAGGTGATTATCATTTTCATTTTAAAGTAGCTTCTTTATTGGTTTCTTGTTTTTCAGGCTGTTATAAATAAATGCGGGTTGAGTATACTTGCGACCAGAAGTGTTTCAGATTTTTGGAATATCTGCATAATCAAATACCTCGGGGATGGGACCCAAGTCTAAACATGAAATTTATTTGTGTTTTACATTATACACAGTCAAAGGTAGTTTTACATAATGTTTTAAATAAATTTTTCATAAAATGAAGTATGTGTTAAATGCTTGTGTGTGGAATTTTCCATTTGTGGCATTACGTCAGCGCTCAAAGTTTTAGAATTTGGAGCATTTCAAATCAGGAATGTTCAACCTATAAATTTTGTATCTCTCATTATGTTATAGTAATAATTACAGTTATTGAGTGTTTTTTTAAATGTGACAGGAAATTTTTAAAGTGCTTTGCAACAAAAACAGTTAAATATCAGAACAACACTATGAAGCTGGTATTTTTATTTCCGCTGTATTATAGATGAGGAAACTGAGGCCTGATAGGTTAAGTATTAGTAACTTGCTTTGAGTCTGTTAGGTTAGTAGTGGTAGAGCCCAGCCAGTCCAGCTCCAAAGCCTAAGCTTTTACACTACACTTACACTGAGCTGTTTGGGGTTTTTTTTCCTTATGTGTGAGACAGTAGATATTCTAGAAATACCTTGATGATACCTACTCAGTACTAAATATGGTTGGAATTCATTAATTCTGTTAATTTACTTATTGTATATTTACCTGGCTTGCCAAGGATATATAGAAGGGTATCCAGTGAAAAGCTATGAAAGTAATTCTATCAAGGTTTCTTTCTAATTAATTTATGTTTGATTTTAAACAAAACCACTTTATTAGTATATAAAATAGACTTAAAGTTATAGCATATATTTTTTGTGAACTCTGTGACTGGAAGCAAGCAACAACAATAAAAGCAATACTCTTATTTATTAAAGGATTAAAAATTATTTTCTTCTGGGAAACATGTCACTTTAATACTTGCTTGTTCTCAGTACTAAATTAAATCAAAATGGAAAGTTAAAGCAAGGAAAACTCAATTTGCCTCTATTGCTAGAGTAGTCCATGGATTTATTTGAAGAATTATTGCATCTTTAGAGAATATCAATGTTGGATTTCCTTTTAGTGGTGTCTGTAATGGAGTCCTGCTATGAGCTGTTAGAGCTTCCATTTTGTTAGTGCCAGGTTAGTACCACTCTGATTGTTGTAGGCTGAGAAAATACAGATAAATTGAATTTATAAGTGATGAGTTTGTGCTAAGTGCAGTTCTATAATAATTCCACTAGATAAAAGCAGTGGCAAAATTTATTCAGCTTAATGCATGAACCAGTTTAGGGGTTCCCAACTAAAACAGAGCCCATGCTAAACAAGCCAATATCATTCTTTCAGAATATTGTCTTAAATTATTAATTTAAATTTTAATTTATTTTATATTCCTGTTTGTTTTTTTAGCTACAAAAGAGCTATAAGCATGTATTTCTAATTTTATATATGTTGCAGTATAAGAAAAATAAAATAGATCCTGAAAATTCATGATAATTTTTTACTTTCAGAAGGTTTTACACGTTACAGAAGCTTGAGAAACATTGACCTACGTGATGGCTTCTTAGATGAAAGAATGTAAAATATGTTGACATGTTTTGTATAATATTTAGTTGGTGTAGAGGTTAGTAGATATAATTAATAGTTCTTGCCTCTTTATTTTTTTTTTATTTTTTTTTATTTTGGAGTCTTGCTCTGTCGCCCATGCTGGAGTGCAGTGGTGTGATCTGGGCTCACTGCAACCTCCGCCTCCCAGGTTCACGTGATTCCCCTGCCTCAGTAGGGGAATATAGGGATTCTGAGTAGCTGGGATTACAGGCGTGTGGCACCACACCCAGCTAATTTTTTTTTTTTTGTATTTTAGTAGAGATGAGGTTTCACCATGTTGGTCAGGATAGTCTCGATTTCCTGACCTTGCGATCTGCCTGCCTCGGCCTCCCAAAGTGCTGGGATTACAGGTGTGAGCCATTGCACCTGGCCTAGTTCTTGCCTGTTGAAGAGTTTTTTAGACAATATAAAATAGATACAGTTTTATCCAACAAAATTATAAGTATCTTGATAATAGGTAATATTTTCAAGGCTAATAGAAAGTTTATTAAGCAAAAACCATTTTATTTATCACATGTTTTGTTATAGGCTGCAACGTACTCCTATCAAACTCCAGTGTTTTGCCTTGGATCCTATAACTTCAGCCAAGGAAACCATAGGTTACATCGTTCTGGATTTAAGAACCGCCCAAGAAACAAAGCAGGTATTGCCCTTTTGATGTTTTGCTAATGATTATGTTAGATAGTTGATTATTTTCAGTAGATAACAGATTGATGAAAAGGACGTGAAATACTAGACCTGATCAATCATAGGCTTAAGCTAACATGGCAGTTCTTTTTTTTTTTTTTTTTTGAGATGGAATCTCTGTTACCCAGGCTGGAGTGCAGTAGCACAATCTTGGCTCACTGCAACCTCCACTTCCCAAGTTCAAGCAGTTCTCCCTGCCTCAGCCTCCTGAGTAACTGGGATTACAGGCGCTCATCACCACGCCTGGCTAATTTTTGTCTTTTTAGTTGGAGTTTTGCCATGTTGGCCAGGCTGGTTTCAAACTCCTCACCTCAGGTGATCTGCCTGCCTCAGCCTCCCAAAGTGCTGAGATTACAGGCGTGAGCCACTGCACCCAGTCAGTATGGCAGTTCTTATGTTTTAGTTTATGAATTAGATTTAGAAAATCTCAACATTTTAATCATTTTCTTGGCCAAGAACTGTCTTTCTCAAAAAAAGTCTCTGAACTCACTTGTATCCAAGTTGCTATTATCAGAAGCTTAACATGCCTAGCCCCCGAGCTTTCCTTTTAAAGGTGGTTAATCCTCTTCCAATGTTTCCTGCTTCAGTGAATTGTCGCCACTCCCCTTTCAGTTATACAAGTTAGAAATACAGAAGTCTTCCTTGACATTTTTCCTTTTCCTTCCCCCATAACCACCTATTCCAGTTGGGTTTTTTCCCTCCTGATCTCTCTGCTATTCTCCTTTTCACTGCTGCCACTCCAAACTTAGCTGCTATTGTTTCTTACCTTGGCTATCATAATAGCCTCCCTGCTTCCTGCTCCTTGCATAGCAGTCAGAGCAAGTGAACTTATTGAAACACACTTGATGTTATCTAACCAGTACCTCTCTCTCTGCCCCACTACTCCCAAGAAAAGGAACTCAGAATCGTCCTGATTCCTGTGATAGTGACTTTTATTATTTAATATGGTGCTGTTTAGGGCTTTTTTTTTTTTTTTTTTTTTTTTTTGAGATGGAGTCTTGCTCTGTTGCCCAGGCTGGAGTGTAGTGGCGCTATCTCAGCTCACTGCAAGCTCCAAGTCCTGGGTTCACGCCATACTTCCGCCTTAGCCTCCCGAGTTGCTGTGACTACAGGTGTCTGCCACCATGCCCGGCTAAGTTTTTTTTTAATTTTTTTTATTTTTAGTAGAGATGGGGTTTCACCATGTTAGCCAGGATAGTTTTGAACTCCTGACCTCATTATCTGCCTGCCTGGGCCTCCCAAAGTGCTGGGATTCCAGGCGTGAGCCACCGCGCCCAGCCGCTGCTTAGGGCTTTGAGTCTCTTCTGCCCTTTTCGTATGTGACTGCCTTTAGAAACCTCCCTTGTGATGTTTCTGCTTGTCTTGGGTCATAATTTTCTTAAGGGGGAAAAAAAGCTAAAAAACTAAAATAATATCTTCTTTTTATTTAAAACTCCTTTCTTGATTTGAATCTTAAATTGGTATTCTGTGAAGAAAAATTTATCTCTTACTAATGTTTTTGCTGCTGATAGCAATGATATTTGCATATGATCAGTCAGCCTAGCCTGAGGTTGGAATAATTTAAAAGAAACTGCAATTTTAAAATGCTTTAAAAGAGGACTTGCTTTCCTCCCATCCTTGGTACTCATTACCTCTCTGCCCCTAAATCTTATCCTGAAAAGGTTTTTCGTTTTTAGTTTTAGACCCTGGGCCTTGATTGGGTTCTTGATGTTTCTCTTAACCACCTTCTCTCATGTAACGTGCAAGTGTCTAGAAGACACTTCTGCAGTCAGTTTAGTTGCAGAGAAGGTAAATCCTCTTAGGAGGGTATCTGAGGGATGAGGTCACGCCTTTAAATACTCTTGGCATTCCTTGTCCCCTTGTCCTTTAGGACAATTTGTCAATGTATTTGTAATCAAAGTTAGGGAGAAATGGCTCAGTTATTTAAACCAAATGCTGTATTGCTTATTCTCTCCTGTTTGTCAGCATAAATATTTGAAATGGATGGTACAATATTTGAAGTTCAAAATAAATTGATTCTCCGTAAATAAATATAAACAGAAAAAAATCCAGACTTATTTTTCTGAGTTATGTAACAGAAAAAGTCATCAATTCTCTGAGTAGCTGGAAATCTTTCTTTCAGGCTTATATTCAAAATTATAACATATTTGTCATAAGAAATACATCAACAAACTGTATTATGTGTTTTTATCTTTAAAAAATTAGGTTGTTGATTTTTATTTAAACCTATGGCCTACTTAATTCTGTTTTACTTATCAAACATGACTTGAATGTAAAATAGCAGTATAGGCACCATTTATTAATGTCTTTATGTAACAAAGACAATATAAGCACTATCTACTATATTTTATATAACAAATTATCAGAGTAAAAAATGCTGTTTCCAAGTATTGAGATGGTGTTCCCACTGACCAGTGATTCCTGCACTAATAATATATGTAGGCATGATATTTTTCAGGTGGTCTTGAGTACTAGAATTTCTGAGGTTGGCCTAGTGGGGATATTAAAATAATTTAGGATGCTTTATTCTGTAAGAAGGGTTTTGTTTCAATATCAGTCAAGTACCTGGTTCATAATCCACCACTCTTCCATCAGTCCTTGACTTTAGTATTTTGTTAATGCTTTTTATTAACACTAATAAGATTTTCTTTTTTCTTTTTCTTATTTATTTATTTTTTTTGCAACAGGGTCTCACTCCTGTTGCTCAGGCTGGCTGATCATGGCTCATTGCAGCTTCAATTTATCACGCTCAAGCAATCCTCCCATCTCAGCCTCCCAGGTGTGCACCACCATGCCTGGCTAATTTTTCGTATTTTTACTAGAGACGGACGGGATTTCGCCATGTTGCCCAGGCTGGTCTTGAACTCCTGGACTCAAGTGATGTGCCCACCTCGGCCTTCCAAAGTGTTAGGATTACAGGCATGAGCCATCCATCCAAGATTTTCCTTTGCTTATTGATATAAGCAGAACGAAGCAGGTCTATGGCAGAAAGAAAAGGTATACTTTTAAAATATGAGAAGATAGAGGTTCAGGAATTAGAAAACTGGTAGTTTTTTGTGTTGCTTAAGGGATGGAGTGACATTGGGGCTATAAGGTGAAAGGTAGAAAGAAATATATTATGCTTTCTTCCTTTTAATATTTTACCTCTTGAAGCATAGAAGACAAGCAAAGAAAACAATTTAAACTTCTACATAGTTTTTCCAGAGGAAAATTCAGCTGATGGCTTCCTAAGGAGGATTAATTTGTTTTGAGAAAAATGTGAAAAAAAATTGTTTATAGAGGATAAAGTACTGAAAAGCTACAAGAAATTTATTTAGAACCATATAGCATTTCCCAATATTTTTTTTCCCTTATTAACTAGTAGGTGTTTTGTTATTTTGTTATTCTCTAGGCACCAAAATGGTACCAGTTGCTGAGTAATAAATACACCAAATTCAAGTCTGAGATTCAGATAAGTATTGCTTTGGAAACCGATACAAAGGCACCAGTGGATAGCTTTAAAGCAAAGGGGGCTCCCCCTCGAGATGGAAAAGGTTTGTGCATCATCTCTAAAAACATTCTCTGAGAAGTTCCATCTTTGGACTAGAGCTTTAGGAAGGGGGAGTGTTATAGGGAGATATATGCAGGGTGTAAACTGTTCATCAGACAAGTGTTGTGACATTGTTACACATGCAGCACTTGTTGCTCTTAGCTCTTGTTTACAAATCTTAGGACATTTTTTTCTTTATTTGTTATGTAATAGAACAAAGCACAATGTTGTATAGTGTTAAAAATTTGCTACTTAGGACAGTTTTCTTCCTACAATGAGTACAGGAAAGCCCAAAATGGTCATGCTGTTCTCTATTATCAACTGTATTTTAACAAAACCTTTATATTTTTTCTTTTTTAATTACTACACTCTATTTTTTAGAGCAGTTTTAGTTTCACAGTAAAATTAAGCAGAGAGAAATGAGAGTTCTCCTATATACTCCCTGTGCCCACGTATTTGCAGCCTGCTTGCTGTCAACATGCCACACCAGAGTGGTGATGCTACAGTGCATAAACACATATCATTCATATCAGTGTCACCCAGGGTCCATAGTTTTACATTGGGTTTCTCTCTTGGTGTTGTACATTCTGTGGGTTTTGACAAATGTAAATGACTCGTAGTATCCACTATTGTAGTATCATAGAGTAGTTTCACTACCCTAAAAATCATCTGTGCTCCTCCTATTCATTCCTCCCTCCTCCCAGCCCCCTTGGCAACTATTGATCTTTTTTACTGTCTCCATAGTTTTGCCTTTTCCCGAATGTCATATCGTTGGAGTAATTTCATATACAGCCTTTTCCAGATTGGTTTCTTTCCCTTAGTCGTAAGTGCATGTAAGGTTACTTCATGTCTTTGCATAGCTTGATAGCCCATTCCTTTTGAGTGCTGAGTAATAGTCAATTGTCTGGATGTATCACAGTTTATTTTTTCACTCAGCTCCTAAGGGACATCTTGGTTGCTTCTAACTTTTGGCAGTTATAAATAAAGCTACTGTAAACTGCTGTAAACATCTGTGTGCAGGTTCTTATGTGGAAAGAAGTTTTCAGTTCGTTTGGGTAAATTTCCAGGATTTCAGTCATTGGATCATGTGGTAAGAGTATGTTTAGTTCTGTAAGAAATATCCGCACTACTTTCCAAAGTGGCTGTGCTATTTTCATTCCCACCAGCAATGAGTGAGAATTTCTGTTGCTCCATATTGTTACCAGAATTTAGTGGTGTTAGTGTTTTGAATTTTGGCCATTCTACTAGGTATATCATAGTATCTCGTTGTTTTAATTTGCAGTTCCTCAATGACATAGGATGTTGAGCATGTTTGCATATGCTTACCTTCTATGTGTATATCTTCTCTGAGGTATCTGCTCAGGTCTTTGGCCCATTTTTAAATTGGGTTGTTTATTTTCTTGTTGAATTGTAAGAGTTCTTTGTATATTTTGGATAATAGTTCTTTATCAGATATGAATTTTACATATATGTTTTCCCAGTATGTGGCTTAACTTCTCATTCTGTTGACATTGTCTTTCCCAGAGCAGAAGTTTTAAATTTTAATGAAGTCCAGCTTATGAGTTGTTGCATTCATGGATTGTGCCTTTGTAGTTGTATCTGAAAAATCATTGCCACCACCCAAGGCCATCTAGGTTTCTCCTTTGTTATCTTCTAGGACTTTTATAGTTTTGCAGTTCACATTTAGGTCTGTAATCCTTTCTGAGTTAATTTTTGGAAAGTTCGTAAGGTCTGTGTCTAGATTCACTTTTTGCATATAGATGTCCAGTTGTTCCAGCACCATTTGTTGAAAAGACTTTCTTTGCTCCATTGCATTGTCTTTCTCCTTTGTCAAAGATCAGTTGACTTTACTTATGTGAGTCTATTTCTGGTCTCTTTATTATGTTCCATTGATCTGTTTTTCTATTTGTTTGTCAATGCAACACTGTCTTGATTACTGTAGCTTCAAGTAGGACTTGAAGTCAGTGCCAGTCCTCTGACTCTATTCTTTGTCTTCAATATTGAATTGGCTGTTCTGACTCTTTTGCTTCTCCATATAAACTTAAGAATTAGTTTGTCAGTATCTACAAAATAATTTGCTGGGATTTTTATTGGGATTGTGTTGAATCTGTAGATCAAGTTGGGAAGAACTGACATCTTGACAATATTGAGTCTTCCTGTCTGTGAACATGCACTCCATTTATTTAGTTCTTTGATTTCTTTTATCAAAGTTTTATAGTTTTCTTCATATAGATCTTACATATTTTGTTAGATTTATATCTGAGTTCTTTATTTTTGGGGGTGTTCATGCAAATTTTATTTGTTCATTGCTGGCATATAAGAAAACTGTTGACTTGTGTATTTGTATCTTGTAACCTTGCTATAACCTCGTGTGTGTGTGTGTGTGTGTGTGTGTTTTGCTTGTTTTGTTTTTTGAGACAGGGTCTTGCTCTGTCACCCAGGCTGGAGTGCAGTCGTGTGATCTTGGCTTACTGTATCCCTGTCTCCCGGGTTCAAGCGATTCTCCTGCCTCAGCTTCCTAGGTAGCTGGGACTACAGGTGTATGCCACCATGCCCAGCTAATTTTTGTATTTTAGTAGAGAGAGGGTTTCACTACATTGGCCAGGCCAGTCTCAAACTACTGACCTCAGGTGATCTGCCTGCCTCAGCCTCCGAAAGTCCTGGGATTACAGGCATAAGCCACCACACCTGGCCTTTTTTTAAATTCGTTTCGTCGTCGTTGTTGATTCTTTCCACAGACTTTTTTATGTAATCATGTCCTCTGTGAACAAAGACAATTATTTTTTCTTTCCTAATCTGTATACTTTTCCTTTTCTTTTGTATTAGTAAGGCTCTAAGTATGATGTTGAAAAGGTGTGGTGAGAGGGGACATCCTTGTCTTGTACCTGATCTTGAATGCTTCAGGTTTTTCTCCATTAAGTATAATGTTAGCTGCAGGTTTTTAAATATTCTTTATTAATTGAGGAAGTTTCCTTCTAATTCTGGTTTATTGAGAGTTTTTATCATTAATAGATAATGGATTTTGTCAGATACTTTTTCTGCATCTATTGATAAGATTATGTGATTTTGTTTTTCTTCATTAGGCTGTTGATGTGATGGATTACATTAATTGATTTTCGAATGTTGAATCAGTCTTGCATACCTGGGATAAATCCCACTTGATCATGGTGTATATTTTTCTTTCTAAAAACCTTTTGTAAAGATGGAATCTCCCTATGTTGCCAAGACTGGTCTCGAACTCCTGGGCTCAAGTGATCCTCCCACCCCAGCCTCCCAAAGTGCTGGAATTACAGGTGTGAGCCACCATGTCTGGCCTATAATTCTTTTTATACACTGATGGATTTGATTGGCTAATATTTTGTTGAAGATTTTTGCATTTGTGTTCATGAGAGATATTGGTCTGTATTTTTTGTTTTCTTTATTGTAATGTCTTTGATTTTGGTATTAGGATGATGCTGGCCTCATAGAATGAGTTAGGAAGTATTCTCTATGTTTCTAGCTTCTGAAAGAGATTATAGAGAATTGGTATAATTTCTTCCTTAAATGTTTGGTGGAATTCATCAGTGATTTCTAGACCTGGTGCTTTCTGTTTGGGAAGGTTACTGATTATTGACTCAATTTCTTTAATAGATATAGGCCTATTCAGATTGTCTATTTACTCTTGTATGAGTTTTGGCATATTGTTTCTTTCAAGGAATTGGTCTATTTCATCTAGATTATCAAATTTGTGGGCCTAGACATCTTTGTAGTATTCCTTTATTATTATTTTAATACCCATAGGCGCTGTAGTGATCCCTTTCATTTCTGATATTGGCAATTTGTATCCTTTCTTTTCTTTTCTTTTTTTTCTTATTGAGCCTGGCTAGAGACTTATTGATTTTATTTATCTTTTCAGAGAACCAGCTTTTGATTTTGTTAATTTTTCTCTATTGATTTCCTGTCTTCAGTTCCATTGATTTTTTTCTAATTTTTATTATTATCTTCTGCTTACTTGGACCTAATTTGCTCTTCTTTTTCTGGTTTCCTAAAGTGGAAGCTTAGATGTTTGATTTTAGATCTTCTCTTTTAACAAACGTATGCATTTAATGCTGTAAATCTTCCTCTAAGCACTGCTTTCATTGCATGTCACAATTTCTGTGCCCAGCGAAATTATCCTTCAAAAGTGAAGGAGAAATAAAAACTCTCAAATAAAAATTGTGTCTCACAATTTTTGTTGTGTTTTCATTTTCATTTAGTTCAAGATATTTTAAATTTATCTTGAGATTTTTTTTTTTTAACCCATGTTTTATTTAGAAGTATGTTTAATCTCCAAGTATTTTGGGATTTTCCAGCTATCTCTGTACTGATTTCTAGTTTATGTAGCCTGATAGTAGACATGATTACTATTCTTAAATTTGTTCATGTGTGTTTTGTGGCCCAGAATTGCTCTGTCTTGGTGAACTTTCTATGTAAGCTTGAGAAGAATATGTATTCTGCTGCTGTTGTTTGAAGTGGTCTATAGATATCCATTGCATCCAGTTGATTGATAATGTTGAGTTCAACTATGTCAATAATTTTCTGCATGCTGGATCTGTCCATTTTTGATAGTGTGTGTTAAAGTCTGCAAGTTGGATTCAACTGTTTCTCCTTGCAGTTCTGTTAGTTTTTGCTGCATGTATTTTGATACTCTGTTAGGTGCATTCACATTAAAAATTATTTTGTCTCTTTGGAGAATTGACTCCTTTATGATCATGAAATATTCCTCTTGTTAACTTTCTTTGGTCTGTAGTCTCTTCTATCTGAAATTGATATAACTCCTACCATTTTCTTTTGATTAGTATAGCTTTTAATCTATATTTGTTTTTATATTTAAAGTGGGTTTCTTGTAGATAACATATAGTTGGATCTTGTTTTTTGATCCACTCTGACAATCTGTTTTTTAATTGGTACATTTAAACTATTGATGTTCGAGGTGATTATTAATATGTTGTGTGAATAACCTTATTTGTTAGTGTTTTGTATTTGTTTCTCTTGTTCCTTAGTCCTGTTTTTGTCTGTTACTCTTTTCCCACGTTTGTGGTTTTAATTTTATTTTCTCTTTCTTGCATATCAGTTATACTTTTTTGTTTTTGTTCTTTTTTTACTTTTTTAGTGGTTGCCCTAGAGTTTGCACTATACATTTACAAATTTCAAATAACAGTATACTGCTTTTACTTTGAAGGTCCAGCTTCAAATAACACAATTCTGCTTCACAGGTTGTTTTAGGTATTTTAAAATAAAATATTACTAATCCCTCCTTCTTGTCCCTTGTATCATTACTTTCAGTTATACATCAGCATACATACGCACATGCGTACACACACACATAATTGAAGAACCTTTTATCTGTTAGATCAATTAAGAATAAAAAAAAAGTTTTTATTTTACTTTCATTTATTCTCTGATGATGTTCATTTCTTTGTGTAGATCTGAGCTTCTTACCCATGCCATTTTTCTTGTCTGTGAAGAGCTTTTTAATATTTCTTGCACACAGGTCTACTGGCAACGAATGCCCTCAATTTTTATTTGAGAGTTTTTATTTCTCCTTCACTTTTGAAGGATAATTTAACTGGGCACAGAATTCTAGGGTGGTGGTTTTTTTTTTTTTTTTTTTCTCTCAACATTGTAAATACTTCACTCTACCCTTCTTGCTTGCATGGCTTCTGAGAAATTGGATGTAATTCTTATCTTTGGTCTCCTAGAAGTAAGATTTGTTTTTCCTGTTTGACTTCTTTCAATATTTTCTCTTTAGCTTTGATTTTCTGATGTTTTTATATGGGATGCCTAGCAGCAAGTTTTGTTTTGGCATTGATCCTGCTCAGTGTTCTCTGAGCTTCCTGAATCTGTGGTTTGGTGTGTCATTAATTGGGGGAAATTCTCAGTAATTATTGCTTCAAATATTTCTTCTGTTCCTTTCTCTCTTTTTTCTTCTGGTATTCCCAGTCTGTGTTTATTACCCCATTTTTAGTTATCTCACAGTTCTGAGATGTTCTGTTCTGTTCTGTTCTGTTCCCCCCCCGCCCCCCCCAGTCTTTTTTCTCTTGACGTTCCAGTTTTGGAAATTCCTATTGTCATATCAAGCTAAGAGATTCTTTCCTTAGCCTGTGTCCCATCTACTAATGAACCAATTCTCATAGTCATTCATTTCTGTTATAGTATTTTTTTGTCTCTAGCATTTCTTTTTTATTCTTTCTTACACTTTACCATCTTTCTGCTCCCATTATCTCTCTGCTCTTGTATGCTGTCTACTTTTTTCATTAAATCCTTATAAGGCATATTAATCATAGTTTTAAAATTTTTTTCTGTTTTGATGATTCCAGCATTCCTGCCATATGCTTGTTTCGTCTCTTCAAAACTGTGTTTTTTCTTTGTTTTTTTTTTTTCCTTTTAGTATGCCTTGCAATTTTTTGTTGCAAGCCAGACATGATGTATGGGGCAAAAGGAACTGCTATAAATAGACCTTAGTAATGTAGTGGTCAGGAGTGGGGAAGGAGAAGCATTCTATAGACTTATGGTTAGGTCTCAGTCTTTTACTGACCCTGTGCCCATTGGGTCTGAACTTCACCATTGCTTCTCAGTTTTTTCTCCCCTTAGATGGGGCAGAGTGTCTGGAGGGGCTGGAGTTGTGTATTCCCTTCCCTTGCATGGAAGACCAGAGGCAGCTGGAGTTGGGTATTTGTCTTCTCCCAGGTCAGTTAAGCTCTGATAGAACCTCAACAGGTTAGGCTCTGGCAAATAGTTTCTCCCGAGGGCAGGCCTTGTTAACAAAAGCAGAATTGTCTTTTCTCTTCCCTATGCCAGAAGAATGAGGGAACTTTTCTCTGATATTCACTGTGAGGACCTGGTAGAGCTCCTGGAGGTAAAAGTCACAAAAGTGTGGGGCTCCCTTGTGACTGGGTCCCCCTGGAGTTTTTATCTCTCAAGCTGGTTCACACCAAGCTAGTAGCAATTCCTCCCAGTTCAGGTTTTCCTACTTCCTGCATTGGCTCTTTCTGTTCCAAAATTGTGATTCTCTGTAGCTCCCTGTTTGTTTCCTTAGTTTTGGGGAGCAGCAGTTTTCTTGAGACTTCACTTCTCTGACAGATCTATGGAGAGTTGTTAATTTTTAGTTCGTCCAGCTGTTTATTTGCTGTTAGGGCTCAGTGAAGATTTCTAAGCTCTGTGTGCCAGACTGCATTATTTCTTCTTCAGTGTTTTACAGTCCCTATTTTCTTTTTGGTAAAATGATGGAATTGAATGAGATAGTCTCTAAAGTTCTTTCCTACTCTAATATCTAGTGATTCCATCTCTTGTGTAAACTTTTTCTGTAGAGGAAGAAGGAAGAAGGTGTCTTCTGGAAGTGAGAGAAACGAGTAGTGAAATTGAAATCATACAGTTGGCATTCTGTGCTTCAGTCATATTGCATGCAATGTCCTAGACTTATCTGGAAAATAACGTTAATAGCACTCTTTGTATTGGCACATATATTCTTAGTTCAGTGAATTTATAAATAGTCTTGTCCTAAAAGTTTAATTCTGAGTTGAGAATTACTTTTTGAATTGAGAAGATAATTATAATTCAGTATTTTAACAATAACTTTTCCTCAGTTTCTTCTCTTACCAGTACTTCTTAACTTCCTTTTAGCCTTTTCATCCTCTTCCCAACCTTTATATGTTAAAGAAATCTCTTCTCATTCTGTATACACTCTTCTAATGCAATCTTACTTATTTACCAGGCATCAATCATACTCTTCTGTGCCGAAGACCCCCCACTTAGGCCTTTGGACCCAAATATCACTTGCCTCCTGGACATCTTCTTTTGGATGACCTCTAGGCACCATGAACGCAATAGATGGTTAAATTGAACTTCAGTGATGTGTTTGCCAAAATGGCATATGTCATAAGTAGTGAAATCAGGATATGAACTTGGAAGTCAGATTCTAGAGCCTTTAGTATTTTTTCCCTCAGTGAAAAAATATTTTTAAGAATTTGTTTTCTGTTGTGAAATAATCTGTCTTCCCCAAAAGTTGGAAGTATGTTATGAAGAAGAATATTTTTCCCTGGACTATTTGAGAGGAATTTACTACCTAATGCACCTGAATATTTGGAGTATTTATTAGAGCATTCTCCTTCATAATCATGGTATATCCATCAGAACTGGGAAATTTACATCAATATATGAACACATGTAACCTTATTACATTAACGAAACATTGATACATTATTACCACCTAATTTCATTTGAGTTTTGTTTTACCAATTGTCTTTTCCCAATAATTTCTGTTATAAGTAAAGGATTTAGTTTAAAATTAGATGTTTATATTGAATTGTTGTATCTGTGTATTCTGAAATAGTTCCTTGATCTTTCCATGACCTTAAAATTTTGAAAATTGCAGGCCAGTTAATTTGTAGATTGTTTCATGACTTGAGTTTGTCTGATTTTAGATTTAGCTTATGCATCTTTGGCAGGAATATCACCGAAGAGATGCCACGTTCTTCCCATTGCATCTTATCAGGTGGTGCACAGTTTTGATTTGTCCTATTACTGATGCTAACTTTGATGACTTGATTAAAGTGTTGTGTGTTAGTGTTCTCAACTGTAAACTTGTTCTTTTTTCCTTTGTAATTAATAACTTTTGTGGGGCAGAATTGTGAAATTTTGAATATATTCAATTTCTTATTAGACCTTCAATTCATTTATTTGTATCAGTCTGAATTTACAGTTTTCTCTTTTTGTTTAGTGTTTTATAATATTTAACTACCCTTGAATATTTGTCCCGGATTTGGGCAGCCCTTTCAAGTTGCTTTTGTTTGCTTTTGAATGTCTCCATGATTCCTTGAACTTATCAACAAATATTTTCAGGCACAGCAAGATGTTCCAAGCTTATCTTGTGCTTACCCTGTCTCAGCTCTGGATTCAGCCATTTCTCGAAGGAGCCCTGCTTCCTTTTAGTAAAGAATGATTTTTAGAAGCCAAGATCTAGGTGCTAGGTATGTTAGCTGATATCGAGGTGTCACTGCTCCCAGGCCCTTTCAGTAGACAAAGTGAGGGAATTTGTGTATATATGTGTACACACACATATAAATACATACACACATTTGTATATATACATATGATCTTACCTGTTTTGTGCTGCTATGATAGAATACTACAGACTGAGTAATTTATAAAGAACAGGAATTTATTTCATACAGTGCTGGAGGCTGGGAAGTTCAAAATCAAGGCACTGGCATCTGGTGAGGGACTTTGTCCTGCATCCTCACATATTGGAAGGCTGAAGAGCAAGAGAGTAACTCTCTCCACCAACCCCTTTTATAAGAGCGCCTGATCTCATTCATTAGGGAGGAGCTCTCATGGCCTAATCACCTGTTTAAGACCTTATCTCGTAATATCATCACATTGGCCATTAAGTTTCAACACCTGAGTTTTGGAGGGGACACGTTGAAACCATAGCACATGTACACCATTTTGCTTATGTTTATCAATATACATTGAACAGGGCCAGGTGCGGTGGTTCACACCTGTTCCAGCACTTAGGGAGGCTGAGGCAGGTGGATCACTTGAGGACAGGAGTTCGAGACTGGCCTGGCCAACATGGTGAAACCCCTTTTATACTAAAAATACAAAAAATTAGCCTGGCTTGGTGGCACAAGCCTGTAATCCCAGCTACTCAGGAGGCTGAGGCGGCAGAATTGCTTGAACCCTGGGGGGGCAGAGGTTGCAGTTAGCCAAGATCCACTTCAGCCTGGGTGACAGAGCGAGACTCTGTCTCAATAAAAAACAAAAACAAAAAACACCATATATATGTGTATATATATGTATGTATATATATGATATCTGAATTGATGCTGTTCTATATATATTGAATTCAGATTCAATATCAGAATTGATGCTCTTCTATATATATGTATATAGATTGACGCCTCAGTATATATAATTAAGTTCAGATTGACACCAATTCAGATTGACACCTTCAATTCCATTCCAACACCACAAGATTTATTCTAGTTTTCACCTTCACCCTATTTGTAACACCCTTCACTGTCAGTGAGAACATGTCATAGTTATTTTAACTTCTAAGCTCTGTCGGCCTTACTATGTAATGGCTACCTTTATTAAAGTGCTTAATGGGTCAGAGGCTGTGCTAGATGCTTTGCTTTCATTATTTAATTTGATCTTTCAACAACTCTATAAAAGCTTTCTAGAAAAAAAAATGGAGACTAAAAGAGATGGGTATAGTTTCCCTATGTAACAAGTGAAGGACAGAACTGAGATTGGAACCTTGGTCTATGTGACTTAGATATCTGTGCTCTTAATCATTATACTGTTTTCAGCCACTGCTACTTTGAGCACAACTCTTTAGGATTAACTCCTAGAAGGATTGCTTGTTTATAGGGTATGCACATGTAAAATTTTGATAGGCCCTGATACATCACCCTCTAGTACGTTATTCTAGTGTATACCTGCCAACATTGAGAGCACTCACTTTCCTGCTTTCTCCTCAACATTGGATATTATCAATTATTTTAGTTGTGTATATTTTTTGTTTTTTAAATCAATTTGAAAAACGCTGTCCCTCTTCAGTCTCCTCATACTAAAGCCTATTTGATTATGTCAGTTTTCTTCTCAAAACTTATTTCATGATTTTCTCGTATTCTTAGAAAACTGTCCAAAAATGTGTCTGGATAGCATACAGAAAGAATGTATGATATGGCTTCTGCTTATCCAGCCCCACCTCCCTCTGTATGTCAGTTCTCACTCTGTAATCTGGCACCCTATGCCTGTGTCAGTTTTCTCACACATACTTTCTCTTGCTTGCTTCTGTGTTTTTGTACATACTGTCCCTTCTGTCTAGAACACTCTTTTTTTTTACTCCCCCATTCCCTGTTCAGCTACCCTTTTCTTCTTAGCCAAATCTAGTTTATTCACTTTCCAGTTTAGATTCACTATAAAACCTATGTTAGATGCCTTTTCTTTGTGGTTTATTACCTTAAGGTTTTAAAGGGTTACTTCAGAATTTTATATACAGAAAGAATATGCTGGTTAAGTAAGGTTTCTTTGGTGAGTATGTAAGAGAGTATGTAAGAGAGTAAAGGAAACCTTACTAGATATTAACTGTATTCATGAAAATTACCAAGCAAATTAAAAAATACCAGTTTTAAAAGTCTTACAGTGGTTTATAACAAACTGCAATGTAGTTTAATCGTGTTTTTCTCTGTAAAGTACCTGCCATCCTGGCTGGACTTGACCCCAGGGACATTGTGGCTGTGCTGAATGAAGAGGGAGGCTACCATCAGATTGGACCAGCAGAATATTGTACTGACTCCTTCATTATGTCAGTGACCATAGCATTTGCCACCCAGTTGGAACAGGTGAGACTTTCCGTGAGATTGGTGACTTATGAATAATTTGAAAACATTATGTAAAACATTTTAGCTTTCAGCTATTAAAAAGACTTGCAAGTAGACTTTTTTTTTTTTTTTACTTTTGAGAAATGAGTACAAAACATGTTTTCTTTCATACTAGAGAGAAAACTTTTTAATTTAGAAAAAAGAATAGATTTTGATGATCTTGATTGTAAGATAATAAATCTTCAGGATTTCGGAGAGTGACCATCAGTTAACATTGTTTTCCATTGTGCTGTGTGGCATTGTAAGGACTGACATGAAAGGATTTTTAAATTTGCGAATAATTTACTTTTTGGAGAAACTTAAAATGTCAGGAATACTTTCTGCCAGTAATGCTTAATGCATATACAGTTTTGGGTTCTATTTTACCTTGTTTATAAACTAACAAATTAAGCTGTTACTATCATGGATGCTAGCAGAAGACACAGGTTCTTCGATCAGAAACGAAGGAATTTATTACCCTTAGCACAGCAAGAACATGAATATTGGTATATTTCCTTCAGTTGCCCTTACCCTAAGTCCCATGGGGACTACACAGAGGGGCCCAGGTGGTTGCTCTGCACATAGTGGGTTTTATCACAGCTGAGGAAACTGAATTTGAGGAACCTGCCACTTTTATTGTAAGCAGTAAGCAGGCCTGGTCTTTGTCCAGGAAGACACATTACCTTATCTCTCAAGCTGCTTAAACAACCCTGGGAAATGTGCTGAGTAAAAGAGTGGTCTGGGCCTTGCAGTCTTGTCATACTCTGCAAGAATGTGTAGGGATGCTCAGGGCTCATTGTAGATTGCTTTCCTCCCAACAACAGCTCAACACAAAACTAGCTGTTATTCCACTGTCCTTCTCAAGTCCACTTCCTCTTTTTTTCCCTCCTCTGCCATCAACTTGGTTTTACAGGTCTACTTTTCTTGGCATTATGTTGTTCTGTAGTAGCTGAAATGAATTAATACTTACAAAAACAGATGATATGGCTTATAACTGTACAATTTTTCTCAGATGATTCCCCTCCCCCCTTTTTCCCCTAAGAGACAGGTCTTTCTTTGTTGCCCAGGCTGGAGTGCCTTGGCGTGATCATAGCTCGCTGTAGCCTCAAGCTCCGACAGTCAATTGATCCTTCTGCCTCAGCCTCCTGAGTAGCTGGGATTACAGGCATGTGCCACCACACCCAGCTAATTTTTAAAGTTTTTGTAGAGACAGGGTTTTACTATGCTGCTGAGGCTGGTCTCAGAATCCTGGCCTCAAATGATTCTCTCACCTCAGCCTCACAAGATGCTGGGATTACAGGTGTGAGCCACCATGCCCAGCCTTATTTACTTTCTTAGAGGAACAGAATATCCATGTAATCCACATTCACAAATGAAATATGCAATTAGTGGCCACATTTTTATTTTACTTGCAAGGTACATCAGGTAAAGATTTTTATCAGGAAATGTGTTTACTTTGTCACACTGAATTCATGCACACTATATAAAGAACTTGGCGTTCTTTGAGTATTTACTCTTTCTCTCCTAATTTGGTACTGTGAATTTCCTTGTTGATACATACGTACTTTTGCGTTTATATCAGTTTCCGTATTTTTCTTCTCTTCTTAAAGCTCTGCTTCTGGATTTGTTATAGTTTAATATGCCACTCTAGTTGCAAGGAAAGACAGATATCTGTTGGCTTTTTATTTATTAACCACATCAGAACACTCTTGTCCACATGTCAGATACTTAGGAATGTACTGTATTTTTACTGTGTTGTTACCATATTTTCTAAGCTTTTTATTTTTTATTTTTATTTTTTGAGATGGAGTCTTGCTCTTGTCGCCCAGGCTGGAGTGCAATGGTGCAGTCTCAGCTCACTGCAACCTCTGCTTTCCCAGTTCAAGAGATTCTCCTGCCTCACCCTCCCGAGTAGCTGGGATTACAGGCGCCTGCCATCACGCCTGGCCAGTTTTTATATTTTTGGTAGAGATGGGGTTTCACCATGTTCGCCAGTTTGGTCTCAAACTCCTGACCTCAGGGCATCTTCCTGCCTTGGCCTCCTAAAAGTGCTGGGATTACAGGCGTGAGCCACCATGCCCAGCTGAATTTTAAATCACTGTTTTAACAATTTTATCCTCCTTAGGGAGGCATAATTGTTCATATTTATTGATTACTTACTGTGTAATGCTTTGTATAATAGACATTGTGCCACCCACTCTGCATATTTTGCATTTAATCCTACCACAATCTTAGAGTTGCTCATTTTCATTTTAGAGATAAGGAAACCAAGTCTTAGGAAGATCTTACGGCTAGTTAATGGCCCAAGTATATCTGACCATGTGGTCATTTTTAATGTTCTCTTGGTCCCATATAATGCTCTCTTGCCTCTTAATGAGTTTGGAATAAAATAGATTTGAGTTGTAATCTCATTCTATTTTCTAGCTCCTTCAACGTAGGCAAGTTACATAACCTTTTTGAGGCTTGATTTTATAGTTATACAGTGGTGATATTTACCATCTTTTCAGTTGTGCGTGAGGAATGAGGTAATATTAGTAAGTTGCTGACCATGTTGTTTGTGAGAAAGTACATTTGTATGGTAAAGTTTCCTGTGGGTAATTGACCTATTGAGTCCATAACTTTTAAAAACCAGTATAATACAGTTCTTGGTAATACAGGTGAATTACTGGGACAAATTACTATTTCAGTTTAGTTTTAAAAAAAAACACACACACACAGGTTGATGTCTGGCAAACTGTTTACTATCTCTATAAAAAAGTAAGCCAGATAGATTCCTCAGAATGTTAAACAGAATTACGACATGATCAGCAATACTACTCCTAGGTATATACGCAAAAGTATTGGAAACAGGTGTTCAAATAAAAATTTGTATGTGAGTGTTTATAGCAATACTATACACGATAGCCAAAAGGTGAAAGCTACCCAGATGCCCATCAGTAGATGAATGGATAAACAAACTTTGGTATATGTACACAATTAAGTACAATTTAGCTATCAAAGTACTGCCTGTGGGTGGTGTGGTACACAGCTGTAATCTCAGCTCCTCAGGAGCCTGAGGCAAGAGGATCCCTTAAGTCCCAGCAGTCCAAGACCAGCCGGGGCAACATAGCAAGATCGCCATCTTTATAGTAAAAAAAAAAAAAAAGGAATGAAGTACTGGTACATGCCACAACATAAAGGAATGTTGGAAACATGCTAAGTGAAAGAAGCCAGACACAAAAGGCCACATACTGTGTAGTTCCATTTATATGAATCATCTACAATAGGCAAAAGTTCCTTCAAGCAGATTTGTGATTCCAGGGACTGGGAACAGGAGAGTATGGGTGGTGGGGTGTTGCTGCTTAATGATTGTATTGTTTATGTTTGGGATGAAACTAGCTGTTTAGTTTTTTCCTCTCAACTTAGTCAAAGGCAATGTGAGAAAGCATCTAGCAATAAACAAATTTACAAACCTTTTCAGATGCAAGTCAGGGACTTAGCACATGTTACTATAAAGTTTTAATAGAATGGAGGATTGAGTTTGGAGCAGAAACACTGGCTAGTGACAATCTTGCTTCCTTCTTAAATATTGAAAGTTAAGAGTAGGAAAAAAATACAGTCTCTAAATATGAGAATAATAAATAATTTTTAAATAATTTCTTCCCATAATGGGAATAATTTAGAATTAAATATACTGTGAAATATTTAAGGGTCTTTATTTCTTAGTATTTTTGTTGCTTTATGATTATGAAAGAAAGTAAAAGAAAATGAAAATCTTCTCTAAACTCCTCCAGAATAATCACTGTAACGGATAGTATGTTCTTCCCCAGGATTTTCCATTCTCACATAACAACAGCTAACTGTGTGCTAGGCGTTGTTGTAGCAGCAACTATGTATCTCTAATCTTTCCAACCCTAAAACAAGTGGATACACACAGTGATTAAGTAATTTTTCTAAAATTTCACAGTAAGTTACTGATGGAACTAGAGTTGGGGTTTGGGATCTGACTCCAGAATTTGTGACTGTAACAATTATAAGTGCATAGGTGCTCCTCTCAATGTGTGTAAGTCCACATGATTAAAACCTCACTTAAACATGAATACATTTTAAAGTAGGATTAAAATAGCTTACATTTATTATGTGACTGGTACTGTGCTGTTGTAATCTAAGTGATTAGTACTTTTATTTTCACAAACTATACAAACTATCCTGTAATTTTTTTAAACCAACAGTATATCTTAGAGAGGGATCCTCAACCCTCAGGCTGTGGACTGGTACAGGTTTGTGGCCTGTTAGGAACCGGGCTATATAGCAGGAGGTGAGCAGTGGGCAAGTGAACATTATGGCCTGAGCTCTGCCTCCTGTCAGATCAGTGGTGGCATTAGATTTTAATAGGAGCACGAACCTTATTGTGAACTACACATGCAAGGGATCTAGGTTGCGTGCTGCTTATGAGAATCTAATGCCTAATGATCTGAGGTAGAAGTTTCCTCTTGTAACTATTCCCTCTATGCCCTCCTGTTTATGGAAAAATTGTCTTCCATGAAACCAGTCCCTGGTGCCAAAATGGTTGGGGACCACTGTCTTAGATAACTTTCAAGTTAGTATGTTATTATTTAGCAGCCATGCTGTATGATAATTATATTTAAGGCATCCCCTATTGATGAACATATTGAATGTTTATAGCTTATTGTTTAACAATATGCTAGTGAACATTACAGGTCTGTTAGAAAATATTTTATATTTTGTAGGACAGGAATCCCATCTCTTGGTCATATGTGGTCATGAAGCTAGTGACTCTGAAAAGTAACACTCATAGTACAAAAGGTATTTTTTTGGTGTTAATTCATAGGCCTCTAAATTTTGACAGAATAGCTAAAAACTTTATTGGAGACCTCAACTAAGATGTTATATATTAAATAGCCTGGATTAAATTTTTTTACAAACCTTTTCTCATTCATAACATAGAGCCTCTGATGGCTGAGGAAGTATAAGATGAAATAAAATATGTGAAAATAAGGAAAGCTCAGTTTGAAATAATCTCTTTCTTCTAAGTAGAACTTTCACATATTCATGGACCAATTGAATGCAATGAAAACTTTAAAACGACATAAATCTATAAAGTCTTTTAGACTCTGCTTTTCTAAGACGACCCTTTTTTAAAACAGTCATTTGGTAGCAATTTGGCAGAAATTCAGAAATTTTATTTGAGGGTTAAGACATCAAATTAAAAAATCAACATTTTAGCAAATATTTTTGGAATGCAATAGATACACTAAGCGTGTTTAGTGGTTTAGATACACTAAGCATGTTTAGAAAGTAATACTGTTTTCTTTTTCCTGAAATGTTTAGTTAATTCCATGTACCATGAAACTTCCAGAAAGACAGCCTGAGTTTTTCTTCTACTACTCTTTACTGGGAAATGATGTTACAAATGAACCCTTCAATGATTTGATCAACCCAAACTTTGAGCCAGAGAGAGCATCAGTTCGCATCCGTAGCAGTGTAGAAGTTCTTCGTGTTTACTTGGCTCTTCAGTCTAAACTACAGGTGAGTACTGCAGCAAATCGTTTTTAACTGGAGGTGGTCTTTTAAGCGTTAATTTAGTACCTAAACTTAATCTTATTTCAGTAGTAGAGGTTATCTTTCTGCCACATCTTCTAATTTTTTTAGGTACTATCCTGTGTCATGACATTGTTGGCATTATAGTTACTTCAGAATTTTATGAGATAGCACCTCTTTTCCCCGTAATTGAGAAAAGAGGTATATCAGTTACCAGTCTTTTGCAATAAAAACAATTATACCTGGAGCCTAGAGCAGTGGGCATGGGCAGGGTTTGATTATTGTTAGTGGAGATATTATGTGTAGGCACACAGATCACACTCTTGATTTCAAAATATATATGCCTTACTGCTATTAAAAGCAATGAGGTAAGACAGCTTTCTAAAATCTGCCCTTGATTTGAGTATTTTTTATGAACTCTTTTTGAATTGGACTCCATTTAAAAGCAAACATTGGCTGAGCATGGTAGCTCACGCCTAGAATTCCAGCACTTTGAGAGGCTAAGATGGGAGGATCACTTGAGGCCAGAAGTTCAAGAATAGCCTGGGCAACATAGCAAGACCCTGTCTCTACAAAAAATAAAAAGTTACTTAGACGTGGTGGTGTGTGCCTGTAATCTTAGCTACTTGGGAGGGTGAGGTGGAAGGATTGCTTGAGCCCAGGAGTTGGAGACTAGTCAGCTATGATCACACCACTGTACTCCAGCCTGGGCAGCAGAGCAAGACTCTATTTCAAAAAAAAAATAAGTTAACCTTACCTAGTAAACATTACTCTTCTGTCTTTTATGACACTTCCTTTTGATCAAAACCAAAATAGGGTGGTGTTGTATATGGTTAGATATTCATTTGTTTAAAATAAAGTAATGGACAGGAGGTGAGAAGAAGCATTAGGAAATTTTAGTAGAACTGAATTTTAGAGATGGTTCTACTAAACCCAAGATATTTAGAAAACTGAAGACTATATAAAATGATGACATGCAGGAAAAAGCAGTTTGAATTTTATTCTGTATCTGACGTATCAGTCCTTACCAAAAGTATTGATTTATTTATTAGTTTCTAATGGAGGACATTTACATCATAAAAATACTTTTTTTTCCAGCCCATAAAAATATTACACCTTAATATAATAACTTTGAGACTAAGTTACAGGTCTCTCTTAACTCTTTCACTGATGATATTAGAGCTAAATATATTTTACAGCATGATTGCTTGTTGATTATTCATTAAAATACTAAGTTTGCTAAGGCTTCAATATAGTAAGGGAAAATAAGTTATATATAATTTTCTGGAGCAGTCTTTTTTTTTTTTTTTTAAACTTGTCAAAAGGTGTAATATTGAACTTTTAATTAGCTATCAGTGATTAACAGTATATTCCACTCCAGAGATATTCTTTTACTTACTGTTAAGCACTCTTTTTAATATGAGGTCTGAAAAGCAAGAAAAGAGAAATACTCAAGATATCTTATGAGTGAAAAAAACAAAACTATTTGAGGTTTTCAAATTCCAAATCAGGATTGATCCACTGACTTAGTTTTTGAAACCATGTTTAAATTAATGGTAAAATGGAAATAGAAAAATGTTGAGGTATTTTTTTGTTTAAATTCATGCATTAGTTATTTTCTTATACACTTTTCATAATAAAATATTAAAGTAGTTCATCAAAGAGGCAGAAAAAGGAGCAATAACATATGATTATGTAATACCAAAAGAAATGAAAAGGGTAATAACTATTATTGAGTTTCTAGTAAACTGTTTTATCACCAGTTTTAACAGTTATGTGTGAGAATTCATTACTTAGTCACTTCAGGTCAATGAGGTGCATTATATTTTCTTTCCGTGAGTCATTTTACAACTTCTTATTAAGTTTATGATGTTTAGGGAAAAGGAGAAAGTATAAAGCCCTATTTTGATTTTTCCCTTTCATATTAGATTCATCTCTGCTGTGGAGACCAGTCACTTGGAAGTACAGAAATACCTTTAACTGGATTACTTAAAAAGGGCAGTACAGAAATCAACCAGCACCCAGTCACAGTCGAAGGTGCTTTTACCCTTGACCCTCCAAACAGAGCCAAACAGAAGCTTGCACCTATTCCTGTGGAGCTAGCCCCAACTGTGGGAGTGTCTGTGGCTCTGCAGAGAGAAGGCATAGACTCCCAGGCAAGTAGTGGCCCTCCTTCATTCCCCCGGCTTCACTAGTCCCACTCATGATTACTTACAAAAGTTGAATTTCAGAAGAGTTACCTTCATAAGGATATATTTATTAATCTTAATTAGTGGCCTGTGTTATATGATACCCCCTTTCTGAAAAGACCTTTCTGAAAAGTGCTGTGACTTCTGTTGTGGTTTATAAGTGATCCTACCCAGAGCCCTCTTAGCCTTTGGGACAGTCTTCTTGTGTAGTGGAAACCCACTTATGGTCTCCCCGACCCCCAACTCAGTTAATGACTAAGGCAGAAAAGGAACTCCAGTGAAAGAGAACATTTTTAGACCTAGTTTCTGAGAATCTGCATTACTGGTATCTTTTTGGTTAATGCAACCGAAGCCAAAATAAAATCCTTGGTTCCTTAGTGCTTTGTAGTCCTCATACTCTCTTTAGTCACTTTTCATAATACAGGTGATCATTTATTTGGCCGTGTATTTTTTTTTTTATTGTATCTATTCCCAGAATCAACTTTATCTTGTTCTTTCAAAAAGCTGATCTTTATACAGGTTGTGAATTAAAGATAGAAAAACCGAAATGAGTGTTTAAAAGATATATATACATACGTTTTTATTGGGGAGTGGAATAAAGGAGAGAAAGAAAGTCATACTAGACATCTGTTTTTTCTCTTTAGAAGTATAGTTCTCCATTGTACTGCCTTGGTAGGAATAACCATTCCCAGGGACACCTATGCCTGACTTCTTTTCTCAAATATCCTTTCTTACCCATTAGGATGCATTTTGGTATTCAGCTCTGGATATCATATTTCCTCTGTTCATCTTCCTTTTTCTGGTCCTAGATGCTATAAAGAAATTTGCAAATTATGAAGAAAAATAGACTAGGAATATCCAAACTGGGAAAGGAAGCTTATATTTTTAAAAAACAACGCCAAGTTTTTTGCTTAATTATGAAGGAAAGTTCTTTGCAAATTATACTTTATTTAAAAATTGTTTTTAGTCTTTAATTGAATTAAAGACCCAGAATGAACATGAGCCAGAGCATTCAAAGAAGAAAGTTTTAACCCCCATAAAGGAGAAGACACTTACTGAGCCAAAATCACCAAGAGTGTCCCCTGTTCCATCTCACAACCAGTCACCTCCAACAAAAGATGATGCAACAGAAAGTGAAGTGGAAAGTTTACAGTATGATAGGGACACCAAACCAAATCCAAAAGGTAAGGTTTTTTTGTTTGTTTGTTTACAGATCTTTGAGGTATTGCATTTTGCAGCCATCTAAAAACTGACTATGAGAACTTAAATGAGTTTTAAGTAAAAATTATGGGGTTGTTAAGAACCAATAAGGTTGGGCGCGGTGGCTCATGCCTGTGATCCCAGCACTTTGGGAGGCTGAGGCAGGCGGATCACCTGAGATTGGGCATTTGAGATGAGCCTAACCAACATAGAGAAATCCTGTCTCTACTAAAAATGCAAAATTAGCCGGGCATGGTGGCTCATGCCTGTAATCCCAGCTACTCGGGAGGCTAAGGCAGGAGAATTGCTTGAACCCAGAAGGCAGAGGTTGTGGTGAGCCAAGATCGAGCCATTGCACTCCAGCCTGGGCAAAAAGAGTGGAACTCCGTCTCAAAAAAAAAAAAGAAAAGTAAAGAAAAAACCCACCAATAATGTGTGGAAATATAAAAAATTTCAATGCAAAGTCATTGCAATCTATCTAACTTCAAAATAGAATTCACTAAATTTATTTAAGGGATTTTTTATTTTACTTGTACACTGGAAATATCGTATTCAATAGACATTAAATAATACAGTTTTTGCAAATAGATTTTTTAAATGATTAGATTCTTAAATATGTTGAATTTTAGAGAGAACAGTTATTAACTGCCTCTTATAGTAAACTCATAATAGCCATTTTTGATCCTAAAGTTAAGGGAGAGTCTGATAATGCATGATTATCTGATTTAATAAAAAATTTCCTTCCATTGCAGTTATAGTTAGTAGTGTAAATAACTAGTAGTGGATTAAGAGTTAGATCTCTTTGCTGTAAGTTACATCTCTGTCACTGAGTAGCTGTGTGACTTAGGCCACTCACCAAGTATCTCTGATCTCTAATAGGGTTGGACTAGATATCTGTCTTCTTAAGTTTTAGCCTTCTGTTATTTTAAATATGCCTACAATAACCAAAACTACTTTAAAAAGGTGATGTCATTATATCAGTAAGTCTCATATACAGCCCTTCAAATGTTAAGTTATGTGCCTCCTGGAAATAAGTTAGTGCCTGCTAGGCTGCAGTCATACATATTTCTCTGTTGGTTCTGTACATTTTCTATGTGTGTTGAGAGTAAGCTCTTCTTTCACACAATTCTAGAATGGAAATTGAAACCTGGGTTATTTTGTGTGAGTTACTTTTAAGGTACTTATACCTCAATTCATATGTTCATGAGACAAAATAGCCCAATTCCTGCTTAAAGGTAAATGAGATGATAGCCTTAAACTATCTGTACAATTTAAGAGAAACTGTTAGCAAGTGTGATTGTTTTGTTTTATTTTATGTTCATTTTAGCCAGTTCTTCTGTACCTGCTTCACTGGCCCAGCCAGTGACTACATCCAATGCTTCAGAAGTAGCTTCAGGACAGAAGATTGCTGTTCCAGCAACATCACATCATTTTTGCTTTTCAATAGACTTAAGGAGTATACATGCCTTGGAGATTGGTTTTCCAATCAACTGTATATTAAGGTGTGATTTGATTTTGTTTCAAAGTATTATTTTCTGAAGAGAAAGGACTTTCCTGTGTTTGGGGAATTGCAAAGAGAAATGGTCACCAAAGAAGTTATAACATTTGTTAAATCAGTGGACTAAAAGGGGGTAAGGCTATATCCTAATGATTTTGAATTCAAACAAGGGTAGCATTGGTAGAGGAGAGGTAACTGTCTTATCTATTCTGTTATAATAATTATAGGCATTTATAATAATTTAAGTAATATAACTATTATATGTATTTTGATATACATAATATGCCATTTAAAGTACAGTGCCTCTTAAACTTCAAAAGTGCTTTTTTTCTGGAAAAAGGTATTACCAGTCAAAATAATGGTAGTGTATTATTTGATTTTTCTATATAACTGTATTATAATGGGAGCTCATATTCCTAATACCCACATTTCATAGCTATGAATCTAAACACCATACTTAATCAGCTGTAAGTGGAATGTGTCTACATTGTTCTATATTAAGAATTTTATATAATATATATGTCAGTTAAGTAGTTTTACACAATTTGTTTTTAATGATGTTACATTTTTATAGTCTTTTGTGCCTGAGATATAAATTAAATATAATACAATAATGTGTTTAGTTTGGGGTAGTTAGCATCTCCTCATAAATTTCTTTGGAACAAGCATTAGCATTTACAAAAGTTGAGGAAATAAATTGTTAAATCCACTTAACACTCTTCATAGAATTCACTTGATACAGACTAATAGTTCTATCTTTGAATCATTTTAAGGCACTTTAAAAATGCTGACCATTTAACTTTTTCTGTTTGATAAATTTTCATACACTGCTCTCTATTGGTATGGAATTGTAGTTTGCAGCTGTATCATGGAATTTGTTAGGTAACACTGGTATTTGAAAAGTTTCTCATCTGCATGACTTCCTTTATTTATTTATTTTTCTTTTAATCACTAAATCCTGTAGTGTGGTGGTAAGCATAGGGAGTTGAAACTCTAGGGCACTTAACTTTCTCAGAGATAACTTGATTTAAATGGATATGTAATTATATAGGAATTGGGTGAATACATAGAATTCTTATTGGAAAGCAGTTTTTACTATTAGTGTTTAAATTTTGGTTCTCATATATGAATAACAAGATGCAAGATTAAATTTAAATGAGCATTATAATATCTTTATATTTGGCTTTAAATACAAAGTAAGTTCAGCAGTAGTCAAGCATTCTTCCATTTAATCTAGCGTGGGTTTGTGATGAAAGGGAGAAACAGTGTTGTTATGTCACTCTCTGATTCATCCATAATACATTCAAATTGCTTGCATCCTTGCAAGATTACCATAATTACCAGATTACCCTGAATGCATCCTTTTGGAGTTGACTAAGGGCTTTTTATCCCATAAAAAATCAGGACACTATTGTATAAAATAAACTAGGTTTACAAATAAATTTAGGAAACATTTCTTGAATATTATATATGGCAGAAACTGCCTGTGTCCCTGGGAGTGCAGAGATAAAAAAAGGTAGGACATGTGCCCTCAAGAAACTTTTTTGTTTTTTGTTTTTTTGTTTGTTTGTTTGTTTGTTTTTTGAGACGGAGTCTCGCTCTGTCGCCCAGGCTGGAGTGCAGTAGCGCGATCTCGGCTCGCTGCAAGCTCCACCTCCTGGGTTTACGCCATTCTCCTGCCTCAGCCTCCTGAGTAGCTGGCACTACAGGCGCCCGCCACCGCGCCCGGCTAATTTTTTGTATATTTAGTAGAGACGGGGTTTCACCGTGGTCTCGATCTCCTGACCTTGTGATCCGCCCGCCTCGGCCTCCCAAAGTGCTGGGATTACAGGCGTGAGCCACCGCGCCCGGCCTGCCCTCAAGAAACTTACACAGATGGCAGCTTGGTATTTCTACCATGTTTCTATTAAAAAGTTATATTTGCTCATAATATTCATATTGTACTTTTTTTCTAAAAAACAGACTAAATCTCGTCTGTATACCATATCATAAGATTTTTTTTTTTTTTTTTTTTTTAATTCTAGGTACTCATATCCATTCTTTGGAAGTGCAGCTCCTATTATGACTAATCCTCCTGTAGAAGTTCGGAAAAACATGGAAGTTTTTCTTCCGCAATCTTACTGTGCATTTGATTTTGCAACTATGCCTCATCAGCTGCAAGACACTTTCTTAAGGTAATGCATACAGTGTATGTATGATATTAATTATTTTAAGTCAATTCTTGAAAATTTGTATTTTATTAAAAAGGAATTCCTATAGGTTTAAATCCATAGCAGTTTATGCATTTGAGGATCAAGAAACGAATTTACTAATGATGTGTATGAAATTTGTGCATCTGCTACAGGGTTTTGCATGGTTTATTATAAAGGTTCTTTTTAGATTTTCCTATCTTATTTACCTGAATTTGTTAAAACAAACTATATGTAATGAGGGACCTTTGAAAAGTGGTCTTGCCTTTTCCTAATATAATATGGGAAGATAAAAAGCTAAGAACTAAATATTATTGTTGATTCACTGAATGAAAAAAATTGTTTTTTCTAATTTTCTGAAGCTATAACTAGAGATGTTAATCTGACTATCTGAAATGGATTCATGAAAAAATCTGAGATCTGCAAAACACCTTTACTTTCTCAGAGTATCACAATTCAAATTTATACATTATTTAAAAACGAATGAAGGGTAACTTAAATCTAACCATTTGTGGTAATTACAGCATTTGAAGGTTTTTATTACATAGAAAATGGTACAAAAAATGTAATAGTAGGCCTGGCATGGTGGCTTACACCTGTAATCCCAACACTTTGGGAGGCCAACGTGAGCAGATTGCTTTGAGCCCAGGAATTTGAGACTAGCCTGGGCAAAATGGCGAAACCCTGTCTCTACAAAAAATACAAAAGTTAGCCAGCATGGTGGTATGCATCTGCAGTCCCAGCTACTCAGGGGGCTAAAACGGGAGGATCACTTGAGCCCAGGAGGTTGAGGCTGTCGTGAGTTGTGACTATGCCACTGCACAGCAGTCTGAGTGGCAGAGCAAGACTCTGTCTCAAAAAAAAAAAAGTATAGTCATGAATTACTTAAAGATAGGGATACATTATGAAAAATACATTATTAGATAATTCTATTGTTGTGAACATTGTAGAATGTATGTACTTAGACAAACTTAGACGGTATAACCTACTGTGCACCTAAGCTAGATGGTATAGCCCATTGCTTCTAGACTGCGAATCTGCACAGCATGTGACTGTACTGAGTACTGTAGGCAGTTGGATAAAGGTAAGTATTTGTGTATCTAAACAGAAAAGATACAGTAAAAAATATGATATAATTTTATGGAACCACCATTGTATACGAGGCTCATCATTGATGGAAACATCATTTCATATTTGCTGCCTGTGAAATTTAGTGTTCAGTCTAACAATTGTGTTAGATGACATTCCAGGTAACAAAAAACATCTTTGACTCCATTAAGGGAATTCAAAGAATTTAGTTCAGAAAAGACTTTAGGTCAGAGTTGATAGGTATGAACACATGTTTCTCTCTTCCTTAGGATTCCATTACTGGTTGAACTATGGCACAAGGATAAAATGAGTAAAGATTTACTTCTGGGAATTGCGAGAATCCAGCTTTCTAATGTCTTGTCTTCAGAAAAAACTCGTTTTTTAGGTTCTAATGGTGAACAGTGTTGGCGTCAAACTTACAGTGAAACTGTGCCTATTATAGCAGCACAAGGGTAATGCATTTCACAGAATTGGTCTTTGCTTTTTCTTTTTAATTCGTTGAATGATTTTGATTAGCCAGCTACCATTTCACCCTTTCATAACCTCTTTTTTCTGATCCACCACTTCACCCTTTCATAACCTCTTTTTTCTGATCTTCTCTGACCTGTGGCAGCTATACCCCACTTTGCCCTTTAGCTTTCTGATACGCATTTCACCTCACAAAAGTCAAGAGTCTGTGCTACCATGGTATTGTAGTAGTCAGATGGCTAATTATTTTCTTCCTCTCTCTAGCTTTAGAATTTTAAATGCAGGACCTATTTTTTTTTATTTTGTAATTTGAGATTAAACTTTATAATGTGTTTTATATTATTTTGCATTGGGAATGGCTGAGACTGTTTTCCCACTTAAAATATTTTACTCCTACCCCAAATCAAAAGTCTGAGGACATTATAGATATTTGGCAGTCAGAGGCGGTTTTTAAAATCATTATTGTTTTTTTTGCCCTGAACTTCATTGCCACAAAGAAAAACTTGGGTTTTTGTTAACATATTTTAAATACAGTAAAATACTTGTTGAATTATCTTTTTAAAATTAACAATAAAAGTTTAAAATTTAATTTAACATTATATATCATATGCCCTTTATTGTTAAAGACTAAAAAAAAAGATAGAAATGAGGCTCAGTAAAATTTTAGATCTAAAAGTATTATTGAAATGTCTTTCCTCACTCCTCACCATTCGTAGCCATTTTGTGTCAACTCCTATTGTTGAAGAATCTTTCTTAAAAATTAGCATTTTTTCTGTCATCATAAGATAAAATATTAATAATGAAAGCTATTTTAATGCTGCCTGTTTGTTATGAATATTTACTTTCATTGCCCTACTTTGTAGACAGAAAGTTTTAGGAGATTTACTTAAGTGAGAACCTTAGATACTCTCAGGAGCTTCTGTCAGATATAGTAATGCTTCATTTAGCCTTATTCATTTCTTCTGAAATCTGTGAGATTACAAGAAGAAAATGTAAAAGTTGGTTAATTAAGATTTCTAATTGTGTGAGAACCATTCATTCAAGTTTTGTTTGACCAGAGTATATTTGATTTAGACAAAATCATGGTTTTGTATTGCTAATATTTTATTTTCTTCTAATATTTTCTCTTGTTTTCATTTGGCTAATGGCAAATGCTGCATGCAGTTCTATGATGCAAAGAGGTGCTCATTATGATAATACTAACATATAATTATCCTAGAAGCATTGCTTATGTGCCAATTATACCTAGAGGCATTGCTTATATCTAGTAAAATATTTATGAGTGTGTACATCCCAGGAAAAGTAGAAAAAAGAATTCAGAATAACCAATATAATCAAGAGTAGGGGAATTGTTAAGTATATTTTACTACATAAATTCATTTGTATATTTTACAGACAATAAAAAAAATCACATTTTTAAATGAATATTATGATGTGAGAAAATGCCCCTGATGTAAATAGGAAAACAAGACAAAACTATGTGAAGTCAACATGGATGTGTGCATGTATATCTATATGTAAATAAAACAGGAAGGAAATAAACTACATATTAGCAATAATTACCTGTGGGCAGTAAGACTTTAAATTTCACCTTTATACCTTTTACAACTCTTAACGGGGTCATTTTGTAGTAAACGTATGCATGTATTTAGCAGGGTGTTTGTGATGATCAGTTTATATATATAGAAGGTGTTGAAGCCTACAGAAGCTGCTGCAGTTTCAAAAACAATAGAGTTAGGTGCAGAAAATGTTGCTTACTCCCCATTGCTAAAGCACTGTGGAAATAAAAGGAAAAATAATATAAAAGTATTTCTGTGAATTTTAAGGTATTTCTTATTTTATTTGTAGATCAAATAACAGGATAGCAGATCTTTCTTACACAGTGACTCTAGAAGATTACGGACTAGTAAAAATGCGTGAGATTTTTGTCTCTGATTCATCTCAGGTAAATATAATTTAATCTTATCAAATTATTTTTTAAAAGGAATCTAATGTGCATATGTGTGTGTTTAAATGTACTTTTTGGTTCATCTCTTAGGGTGTGTCTGCCATACAACAAAAGCCATCTTCTCTTCCTCCAGCACCTTGTCCTTCAGAGATCCAGACAGAGCCTCGTGAAACCTTAGAATACAAAGCAGCACTTGAACTAGAAATGTGGAAGGAGATGCAAGAAGATATATTTGAAAATCAGGTTACTTTTTAAACGTTACTTTAAAAATTCTGTTTTGTCTACTCTGTATATTTTTCCTTCTCCATAGCAAGGTTTAATCTCTAAGTTCTGTAGGTATTTTATCTAATTTCTTTGAATGTCAACAATGCCTTACTTAAAAAAAAAAAATTGAGAATCAAAAATACCTGAAATGTGGCAACTTGGCAGAAGCCACTCAGAATTCTGTAAACTTTCTTCATGACTATTGGGTAAAATTAGGAAGTTACTCTTTAAATTTCATGTCCTCATTTGGCACACCCTCCTGGAACTTGCATCATTAGTCTCCAAACAAGTTAGAAAGCACAACCCACTGTTAGCTTTATACTTTCCTGAAGTGAACTCAAATGGATATCATTTGCCTCAGGCATCTTTTTTTTTTTTTTTTTAAGAATAAAAAAGAATGCGTGAAAAAATCATATTAGTGATTAGTGTCGGTTCTTTGACAACTGATTCATTTGTTTGACATATTTGGGGTTTTCTGGCGACCTTATTTTTCTTCCTTTTGTAGCTGAAGCAGAAAGAACTGGCTCATATGCAAGCTCTTGCAGAGGAATGGAAGAAAAGGGACCGAGAAAGAGAATCACTAGTAAAGAAAAAGGTAATAACTTGTGTAAAAGTGAGGAAGAAAAGGAAGAATATTAATGATAGTATCTTGTATTTGCATTAAAGACAGTCTCTGGAAGGAATAACTAATTATAGTGGTGATATGTTGGCATGGAAGAAGTGGATGGTGGCTCTGGATAGAAGGGAGGCATTTCACTGTAAAGTATTTTGTGCTTTTGGAATATGCAAATGTATTACCTATTCAAAAAATATATAAATATAGGCCAGGTATGGTGGCTCACACCTGTAATCCCAGCACTTTGGGAGGCTGAGGGAGGATTGCTTGAGGCCATGAGGTTGAGACCAGCCTGGACAACATAGTGAGACCCCCATCTCTTAAAGTGTGTGTGTATATGAATATACAAAAATGAATAGAGAAAAACCCTGCTGATGTGTAAAAAAGAAAAAGATAGCACATTTCAATATATATATAACTACATATTATAATCTGTAAGTTAATAAGATGCCTCAAAAATGTTTAAGCTATTTTTAAGAATTATGAAATAAGTCACATTTTTAAAAATGATAACATGAGACCATCTGATTTTATTCCTGAAGCAAGAGCTTAATATTTGTCCATTTACACTCAAGTTATTAAATAAAACAACCCTAACAGTTAGACTTTCTTCAAATATTCTATTAATAATTTTAGGACTTTAGAAATACTCTTAGTGGTTAGTCAGTATTCAGCTTCAGATTTGAGGGGATGGCTCTACAGGTCTCCAGTGCTCCTTCTCTCTGTAACCCGATCCTCTCATCAACTCTAGTTGCCTCAGCCTCTCTAGTCTCCATTCCATTTTCTCAGCTCAGCAAGATTGCTAGTGTCTGTTTGGGTTCCCCTTTCTTGAGCTACAGTCTTCAGGCAGTAAGCTAGATATATTGTAGGGGTTGCCTTATTTATTTCCCACCTTTTAGGGATCATCGTCCTGTGCTGCCAGTTGCCCAATGGCTGAAAACAGTTGTTTCATAAATGTTGTTTAATTTGTGTTTGTAGAGGAGGGCCATTTGTCTTTTATGGGTGGAAACAGAAGTACACAGGCCTTTGATTTTAAAATAACCATATCAGCTTTTTCTAACTTAATTCTCACCATTAAAAACTTGAATAACCAGTGAACTTTTTAAAAAGCTGAAAGACAAAAATAAGAGTACATCAAAGTCTCTATTCTTTAGAAAAGTTCAGATAATCAATATTACAATAATTAGAAGCCCTGACATACATTTTAACATTATACTAGTTATCTTGTTATTTAAGAGTGAGTTTTATATTAAGTAATATTTATAGACCTCACCTATTAGATATTCATTGAATCTGGGGGAGCTGGAAAATACCATTTTAATTTTAAACATTTTAGCCTAGCCTTTTAGACAAGATGAGTTTATCCTTGAACCATTTTTCTTCATTGCTGTTAAAGAGTATTTTAGTATTGAGGTCTACAAAATTCAAATCAGGAAATATTTGAAAAGTTAATAAAATTACTAGAAACGTGACAAAAATTCAATTTGTGCCATAATTAAACTTTCTGTGAAAACTCACCAAGTAATTTTTGGTTTATTGTCATTTTGGTAATAATGATCTTTTCAGCTAAAATTTGTAATTGGTTTCCATTTATACAGCTTCTACTCTTTCAGCCTGGAATGATGAGTTCCTGGCTAGTTAATAACTCCAGTCAGAAAACAATGTGATGCCTACCTAATAAGTGATTGTGCTGTTTACTCAAATTAATCATATGGTAAAGGTAGATTTGAGATTGAGATTTGCCATTTTCTTTCAACTTAAGTGCATTTTTGGGACCAAATACTTTAATTCATTTGTCTTAAAGTATCCTGTCTTGCATGGGATCAGTTTTTCTTTTAAATTTTTTCAACCACTACAAAATAAAGTCAGTAGTGAGAAAAAAAAAAAGTTGCTTTTTAGTATGATCAAATATTTTAAAGCTAAATACTCAGACTCTCACTATAGTATTTTTTAAATGTCAATTTTATGTGAGCCTTTTCTGTTTATTTTTGTTTTGTTTACCTAATTTTTTTTTAAATGATATATAACTTCTTTCATACTTTGAAAATTTACCTGAAGGAGTAAATCTCTACATCGTTCATGTTCTGCCCTCTGGAGCAACTGAGATATACTCTGTCTTACATATGACTGTCCATCAGATAGCTGAAGATAGTCATTACCCACGTAGAAGGAAGACCTCAGTTCTACATAAGGGAGCATGAGGAAGTGTTCTGTAGATAAGATCATGCTTTCACTTTGGTGAAGATTGGTGGATATTGCCAGGTAGACTCAAAAGGTATTGCAGACACAGCCCCTATAGCAAAAGGCAAAGAAGTTTGAAATAGACTCTGCATTAAGAAAATTATAAGTAGTTTGATGTTGGAAGAGGGGAGGAAAGAATGTGCCTCAAGAAATAAGAGAAGTTGATGCCCCGGAGAATAAATGATCTCATAATCCATTATGTAGAGTTTAGACTAGGTACTGTAGGGTTTTTTTAACCAGGCCTTCCTGAGAGAATGAAGCCCTTAATACCCTAAGGGATCCATTATTGGTAATAAATTAACTTTATCCTACACATCTAAAATGGTAGTTATGTACCATTTTAGGAGAGGATGGAGAAAATAATTAAATCATTTTCTGTGTTTTGTGTTTCAGATGATAAACCCTGGTTGAGAAAGGTAGAAATATCAGAATTTTTTTAAATGAAGATTTTTATATAAAATAAGATAATTAGGTTTTCATTCTGTAACGATAATTCTGATGGAAGTATAGTGGATAGAATAGAGGAATGTGAAACTAACGTCCAGGAGACCAGGAAAGCAATATGTCTTAAAGAAAACGAAAGCCAAAAACTTACAGTAGCGAAAGGTTATGGAGAAAAGATGGGTGTTATAGAGATGATTTTAAGGAGGTTTAGGACCTCAAGTGCTAAGACGTCCTCACGGCTGCTTACAATCCTACTGCTTTCCCTAGTCAATTCATTTTCTCACTCACCAGAACAGTTAGTTTTTGTCTTAACAGACAATCCTTCCTCATCCTTACTCAGTTTATCTCTGTCTTTGAAACACTTCCTCTACTTGGCTTCTTTGACTATACTTTTTTTGGGGGCTATACTTTACTACTGTTGTATTCCGCTGTCTTCACTGGTCTCTCTTTCCTAATTTTCATGCTAGATTCTCCTCATGTTGGCTTTATTGGCTTGTCCCAGAGCCCTGTCCTCAAGTATCATCTTTTCTTCTCTCAGTATGCTCACTCCTTTGATGATTTCATTCAGTCTCTTGGCATTATATACACCAAGACACCCACCACACACACACCCCCATCCCCTTCCTTCTTCCCTGGACTCTGCATTTGGCTATTTAGTTGCTTACACTACATACGCATTTCAAATTTAACAGTCTTTTGTTTCCATCCTCTGTAAATTTAGATTAAGTCTAATATATTAGAGGATGTGGAAATCATAATATATGAATAACAGTTAAAATTTGTGTTTATCTTGGAGAAGAAAAAAGACCAGAAGGAGGAAATATGGCCATCACCAGTCTCAAATTCATAAAAGCACATTTTTTCTTTGAATTAGAGGATGTAAGTTGTGACTTTCCTATTCTCAGGTCCTGTGTTTCAGTGAAATGATACATATTTTTGAATTTGTGTGTGTTTTAAGTTTGGGAGAAGGTAGGTAACTTTTTTTTTTAAATACTATATTTTAGGTGGCTGAATATACTATTCTAGAAGGAAAACTTCAAAAAACTCTAATTGACTTGGAGAAGAGAGAACAGCAGCTTGCTAGTGCGGAATCAGAGGTATTTCATTCATCTATCATATATTTTTTTTTTCCAGCATAGAGGGATTTCTTGCAAAGTAGAAATAGTATTTTGAAAGTTAGGTGCAGGCCGGGCGCGGTGGCTCACGCCTGTAATCCCAGCACTTTGGGAGGCCGAGGCGGGCGGATCACAAGGTCGGGAGATCGAGACCACGGTGAAACCCCGTCTCTACTAAAAATACAAAAAATTAGCCGGGCGCAGTTGTGGGCGCCTGTAGTCCCAGCTACTCGGGAGGCTGAGGCAGGAGAATGGCGTGAACCCGGGAGGCAGAGCTTGCAGTGAGCCGAGATCGCGCCACTGCACTCCAGCCTGGGCGACAGAGCCAGACTCCGTCTCAAAAAAAAAAAAAAAAAAGAAAAAAAAAGAAAGTTAGGTGCAAAATAGTCCCGAGAGAGAAGTGATTCAGGATGGGCTGCTTATAAGAATGAGACAGCAAAGACTGGAACTAGAGGGATTCCATTTATGGGAATCTTACATAATTATTTACAAAGAGGTGGAAAGTGGTGTTATTAGTAAGCATGTCATCTATCATATATCTTTATTTCACAGTCTATATATGAAATTCTTACTGTTTATTACTTTGTGCTCTATATATTTCGTGAAAATTGTCTTTTAGACATGCAGAAAACTGCTGTTCAAACTGCTATTCAGCATATCTTACATATTAGAATAGGTAGAAAAGTATGTCAGAGTGTTTAAACTTAATAGTGTAGATATGTTCCTAATACTAAGGCTCTATTCTGTGCAATTAGGCAAGAATCATACGTTTCTAAAAGAAGAGAAACTTGGGCATATTTGCTTACACAATTAAAAAGGTTTTATTCAAATGGAAATGTTAAGTGGTTAGGGTTTTGAAGTGAATTTATACAAATTGTTTATAGATTTTTATATGTGTGTATAATAGTATTAAACAGTGATTGAAAATTTATAATGGTACAGTTGAACATTAACTGTCTAATAACTGAAAAAGATGTGCAAATAAATTTGTAAATATCCTGAACATTTGAGTGTATAGAAAGATATTGGAATATTGAATAGTATAATACAGCTAGTAATAAACCAACCTCTTAAAGATGCCTTTGTTTTAAGCTTCAAAGAGAAAAAAAGGAACTGCAATCAGAACGTCAACGGAACCTGCAAGAACTGCAGGACTCTATCCGTAGGGCCAAAGAGGACTGTATTCACCAAGTAGAACTAGAAAGGTTAAAAATCAAACAGCTTGAAGAGGATAAACACCGCCTTCAGCAACAGGTTGGATAACATACTTATCATCTTTTTATACTTAGTTTATTTGCATTCTAATAATAAGAGAAATAGTTCACTACTAAAAAGTGGTAAAATTCACAGTAATTTAGACTATTAATCATATTTATTGCGCTGAGATTCAAATATACTTTAAGTTGGATCTTCTAACTATTTTGTGTGAAATTGTGCATATTTCAGGTCATTTCCAACTTAAATCTTTTTCTGATAAGTCTTCTTTAAGCAAACAGATATTCTTCATGTAGCACTAAACCAAATTCATTTAAGGACCAAATTTAGTTAAGATCCAAATTTCATAAGAGAATTGTCAGTGTTCCTATTTCCTCTCCTCATACTCAGTAAAACTGATTGATATAATCAACACTGTTGTCCTTGTTTTTGTATTTTCTCTTCTCAACTTCCACATCACCACTCTCTTTTTTTTTTCTATCTTTCTGGCCACCCTCAGGCTCTTTTGCAGGCTTGTCTTCCTTTAACCGTTACATGTTGGACTTCCTCCAAGCTCAGGACTTACTTTCTGCAAAAACAATCTTATTCATGATTTCATGCCCATGATTTCAGAGACAATCTGTACATTTGGGGACTTTCACATCCAGGGTCATATCCAAGACCTTACCTTTGCCCTCTAGACCCATATACCTGATTGCCTCTTTGGCATCTCTATTTGGATGTCTTAAAGGCATTTAAAACCCATTGTGGCCCTTCTCTCCATACTTGACCTTCTACCTGTAAATGTTCTTTGTTTCAGTGATGGGCCCCTCTAATCTACTCCTCATGTTGTAGCCAGAATGATATTTTTGAAATTTGGGAATCTTGATACTCTCCTCTTTAAAATCTTTCAGCATTGTCTCATTGCTCATAGGACAAAGATCAGAATCATTGCCTTGTCCTGCAGCCCTCTGCATAGATCAGAGCATGTCTCTCTGACTTCATCCCACACTCTTGTGCCTGTGCTGTATACTCTCTGGCCATGCTTGTCTTCCATCAAGTTCTCAGGCATGCCATGCTCGCTTCACCCACAGGATCTTCATGTTTGCTGCATTATCTGGGCCTGGTGTACTCTGTTCCTCTTTCGGTTTTAAGCTAAAGCATCACCTACTCCTAGAAATCTTCCCTATTTCATGCTCCCTAAGTCTAGGTCAGGTTTTCATTTTATGGTCTCATAGGACATTATTCTCCTATTCTTTTTCTTTATGATATGTCATATCAGTTTGTTTTTCTTTTCATTAGCATGATAATTTAATCAGTATCAGATTGTTTGCTCCATGAAAACTGTATCCCAGGAGTCCAGGCCAGTTGTCAACACATAATAGGGGCTCAATAAATATTTGCTTAAAAAAAAAGAATCAAGCTGTTAAAAATTAAGCTTATCTTTCTTGAAAAATTCCAGTGTAGATTAGATATGTATGATGAATGCCTCCCAAGTCTTCAGTAAATTTTCTCATGAACAGTTTCCACAGCAGCACAGGGCCATTATTTAGGTGGTTGTAAAAATATGAATTTGATTGTTACCAAGTAGGGTAGTCTCGTTTAAAATACAAAAGATAAAGTTGTAAAAGTGAGCACTTGTGGTGGGATTCACCAGTAATGCTTGTCTTCTTCCACTTAGCAGGAAGATTCAACCATCTAGAACAAAGGCTCTTAACACGTATTAGAGTCACCAGGAGAGCTCTTGAGAAATACGCATGTTTGTACCTTGTCTAAGACTGGTATAAGCAAGGCACGGTGGTTCACACTTGTAATCCCAACACTTTCAGAGGCCAAGGTGGGAGGATTGCTTGAGCCCAGGAGTTCAAGACCAGCCTGGGCAACATGGCAAAACTGCACCTTTGCAACACATATAAAAATTAGCCAGGCATGGTGGTGCACACCTGTGGTTCCAGTACTCAGGAGTCTGAGGTGGAAGCATCACTTGAGCCCAGGAGGTCAAGGCTCTAGTGAGCCGTAATCACAACATTGCACTCCAGCCTGAGCAACAGAATGAGACACTTTCTCAAAAAAAAAGGAAAAAGACTTGCAGATAGTGTTGTATACTGTGTAGTTTACTTCTTTGTAGGAATAACTAACTTTGGTGGGAAGAACTGGTATTTTGGAAAAATTACCCGGAGCACACTTCTATTCTTGAACTACTGTTCTAAAACCTGGGGGAAAAAAGGGGAGGTAAGAAGGACAGGAGGAGTTACCAAGATGCCCAGATTGCTAAGTCCATGACTGTATGCATTTCACATTTTAGGTATGGAAAAGCTCTTTGGACCCTTACCTTGACCATGTTACATGTATTATACACACAATTCTAACTAGACTGGCAGAAGGGACAGTTAAATACACTGTCAGTGAGAGCTGATGAAGATAAAGTATCTGTACTCAAATAGATTATAGCAGGCACCAGAACTCAAATCACTATATTTATGGATCACTTAGCAAAGGAAAAAGAGCCCAACATGCCTTAATAGCTTACTGCTTTATAACCCTATTGTAACAAGAATTGTTTATGATAATGTTCTGGAATTGTGAAGAAACTACCAAATTTAATGTTTTCTTAGCTTTTGTTTAAAACAGAAAAGTGAGAGACTTTAGAAAGGTTTTCTTTTCAACTTTGGATGTTAAAAAATAGGTAAACTTCTGTCATATGGAAAATTCTCATGTATGGAACACCACATTTCCTAAAGATGCTAGATAAATACTAATTATTACTGATGATTTCCATTTTTGCCGCATATTTTCTTAGTATTAATATTTCAGATTTAGGTAAGTCCTACGCCTTAGGGAAGAGATAATTGGTTTATCTAATGATGGATAGTCATAGCAGTACATGTTTTTGGAAAACATCTTCAGCAATCTTTGTTCGCATTTCAAAAAAAAGTCTCAAGAAGAACATCTTCGTACCTTTTTTTAGAAAAAATTTGAAACTATTCTAAAAGAAATTTGAATGTTCAGTCAAGGCTGACTGTCGTGTCATTTTGTTTTTCAGGAAGTATTGACTGCTTTAATGAAAGCATTATTCAAGGGGATGAAGAGGTCTGAAGTCGCTTTTTGCCCCTGCTACTGACTTAGCTCATTAGGTCTTTGACACTACCTTGATTTAGCTTCTTTGACTTTCAGGTTTTTTTTTTTTTAACCTATTAGTATGAAGGAATTGAACCAAATAATCTTTAAATTACCTTAACTTGTAATAGTATCTGAATTTGTAAAATTCATACGGTACCAAACTATAGAAACAAGAAATGCTACATTAAAATTGAGCTTATTTTTATTTACATGGATACTTATCTGGCATATCTGTAATGCTCAGTCTTTTTTTGGCAGGGGGTCAGGATTATTCATTTTTTTCACATTTTCATTACATTGGGCCAGGCAGAGTCATGCACCAGAGTATTGATGATTATGTTATTCTTTTGCTTTCAAACAGAATTGGGATCCAGGTTGTCACTGTCTCTAAATTCAAGATCTGGAGCAGAATCAGAAGAGGTTGACCACTGCTGCTGGGGGCTAGGGGTCTCTGGGAAAAAGGAGTCAGCATGGAGCTGACTATGGAGGCCTTATGTTCCAGGGCTCCATTGGGGTACCCGAGGATCTTCCATGTGGCTCAGAGGAGCTCCTCAAAACACAGGCCTGGAGTTAGAACTTAGGAATTGGAAGGACGACCACATTTGTAAAGACAGAACCTGAAAAGATGTCGTCCTTCCATCTGTATCCCAGAATCCTGTGTAGGCCTTCTCCTTAAGCAGAGGGCCAGGGTTGGGTTGTTGGCCTCAAAGTAGTCCGGTAAAAGTCTGGAAACTTGTCACCATCTCTTCTTTATGCTCCTGTGCTTTGGACACTGGGCACTTGCTTTAGACTATTCCTGATTGTTTATCCTCAACTCTTCAAATTCAAGAAATTTCCATTCTTTTAGTAAACTGAATCTCCCGGTCACTCCTTGATTTACTTAACTGGGCTGATGGTTTTTCTGGTTTATTTTTCCTTCTTTGTTTTCTGAGCATTTCTAGTAATTTTAGCCTGAAATCTCTTTCTCTGTTTTTATTCCTGAGTCTTCTCCTGAGATTCTTTTCCACTGTAGCTGTAGGGCCTAATCCTGGGTTGGCAGAGAACTTGCACTTACTCTGCTCTAATGGAATCCAGGAGAGACAGAGTTGCCTTAGTGTTGAAATGTGTTTGCTCATCTCTGCTTCTGTTGGTCTCTTGCTGAATTTTTTCTTACATGCGACATCTTAGTGTAAGTGTAAAAAAAGTGTATTTCTGAAGGTAACTTTTAAATTTGACATTTGAGCTTTACCAAAAACATTTTCATGATACTGTTTGATAAGAAATTTCATACTCTTCAAAAGTTTTTGTATAATCAGTTGATTTACTGAATTTTTAATGACTAAGGATCTTTATTTTCGTCATTATACCTTAGCAGTTTTCCAGATTTTCTACTATGAGCATGCTTTAGAATAAAAAAAAAAAAAAGACCCTGTTGAATTGAATTCTTTATTGTTAAACTTTGCATATCATTGTTTTGAAATGGCTAAACTTTTTTTAATACAGCTTAATGATGCTGAAAATAAGTATAAGATTTTGGAAAAGGAGTTCCAACAGTTCAAGGACCAGCAAAACAACAAACCAGAAATCCGTCTACAGTCTGAAATAAATCTTCTCACCTTGGAAAAGGTACACATGTTAATTTTGCACAGTTTAACTAGTCCCAGTGATCAATTTATAAAATCAATAAATAATGTGTATACAATGTAATAATGTTTTGCTGTAGTGTTCTGATGTCAACGCATGAGAGAATTAAAGGCACATGATATTATTAGTACTTGAATTTCTTGGCTTATGTCAGTTGTAGCTTATACAAATTAGAGTCCTTGGTTGCAGACATCTCAGAATTGACTAACTCTAGTAAGGAAGGAATTTACAAAACTTTCAGGAGGCTAAAGAACTAGTTTCAGAATATGGGCAGGATAGGGGAAGCAAGGCATAGCCAAGATCCTGTCAGAAAACAGTCTACTTTGGATGCTCCTGTTGGTGCTGTCACTGCCATGTCACTGGATTCCCTGCTCTCTGATTCTAGTGTTATGTTGTTGAACTGTTTTGTGGTAGCCATTGTGAGTATTCTCTCCATGTATCACCCCTGTAGATTCGATGTCCTAGATAGGAGTATTCATTTGAACTACAGACTTGCACTCTGTCTGTCAGCTAGAAAGAAGGGATGGTTGTCTTACTTTGTTTTCTATTGTTGGAAGCCATGTTCTTCTCATTTAAATTGAGATTCCTCCACAAACAGAATGTTCAGGTGCTAGGCATTAAAAATGTGTAATGTCCATTAGACAATCTAAGTTTGACAATATGTGTTCTTGCATTTTATGATTTGATAACTTTTAGGCATGATTAAAAAAATATAGCATTCAGAGGAAAATAACACAGGTAATACATAGGAAAATTACCTTCAAAGTTTAAGGATTTGATTGTGCCAGCCATTCCCTGTCTTTTCCTACTCAGCTTTGTGTTGAAGGTTTCCTTGCCCTCATAGACTCGCCACCAGGGGGCACTAGCAGAAGACTGGTGGGTGGAAGTTGGATCTATGCTGCAGTAGTTTTTTCCATCTCTCTCCTTCCTTTATTTTGACCCGCAGTAGTAGAATCTTTTTATGGTTCCATGTCCCATCAGAGAGCCCTTCTCTCCAGCTTTCTTCCTCACCGTCGTTGTAGTTCACTGGACAACAGAGCTCCGGTGAGCGTTTCCTTTGGGCATTTCTATAGTTTGGCTCTGTGTCCCCACCCAAATCTCATCTTGTATCTCCCATAATTCCCAGATGTTGTGGGAGGGACCCGGTGGGAGATAATTGAATCATGGGGGCAAGTCTTTTCTTGTGCTGTTCTCTTGATAGTGAATAAGTCTCCCAACATCTTATGGCTTTAAAAAATGGGAGTTTGCCTACACCAGCTCTCTCTTTGCTTGCCACTATCCACATAAAATGTGACTTGCTCCTCCTTGCCTTCTACCATGATTGTGAGGCTTCCCCAGCCACGTAGAACTGTGAGTTCTCCATTAAACCCGTTTCCTTTGTAAATTGCTCAGTCTCAGGTTTGTCTTTATCAGCAGTGTGAAAACAAACTAATATAGGCATCATGTTGACATTCAAAAAGTTTCAAATGTTGGAGCATTTTCGATTTTCAGATTAGACATGCTGAACCTGTAGTAGTAGTTTACAAAATAGGGCTAATAAGAGAATGCTGGAAGTAAAGGTAATTTTTGGCCATATGGGGGAAGGTCTTAGATGCTAAGTTAAAGAATTCAAATGTTATCTGGTAAGAAAAGTCGATGTTACTCCCAAGTTTGTAAGATTGGTGTAATGGATGTTAATAGAAATGAGTTTTGATGAATCGTAATCAGAAAGCAACACTGGGGGCTGCGTGCAGTGGCTCATGCCTGTAATCCCAGCACTTTGAAAGGCACGGTGGGCAGATTGCTTGAGCTCAGGAGTTCAAGGCCAGCCTGGGCAACATGGAGAAACCCTGTCTCTACAGAAAAAAAAAAAAAAAAAAAAAAAATATATATATATATATATATATAAAAAAAAATGTGTATTATATGTACATTATATATATGTGTATATATACACACATACACCTATATATGTGTATATATACACACATACACCTATATATGTGTATATATACACACATACACCTATATATGTGTATATATACACACATACACCTATATATGTGTATATATACACACATACACCTATATATGTGTATATATAATGTACATACACCCTAGCTGGATGTGGTGGTATGTACCTGTTGTCCCAGCTACTCAGGAGGCTGAGGTGGGAGGAGCACTTGAGCCCAAAGAGGTTGAGACTACAGTGAGCCATGATCCCACCACTGCACTTCAGCCTGGGCGACAGCAAGAACTTATCTCAAAAAAAAAAAAAAACAAAGTAGCATTGGAGAGTGAGAGATAGACTTCCATGTTTGGGAAAATGGACTAAAGAATAACAATCACAGCCAAGAGTACTTTGAGAGAAGTAGTGTCTGGTGTCTGCTAAAGTGTGGCAGGGAGAGAAAGACTATGGAATAGCTTCAAAATCTTTTACTTAATAAATCCAGCACTCAGATCCTTAAAGCTTATGTTGAGATACTATAATCTGACAGTAGGCTGTGGAATAGATTCCTTTAGGAACTTTTAATACTTATTGTGTACTTTTTATACTTATTTCAGAACTACCATAATCCAAACTAAATTCTAAACTTTCCAAGGCAGAAACCATGTTATAGCTATTTTCATATTACCTGTTCTTAGGACAGCACACTGTACCTTATAGCACTGAGTAAACATTTTGTTAATCATGATGATGAACCAGCACCATCTTTGCTACTCAGAATTTTCATTTATTCATTTATTCAGCAAAAATTAATGGAGGGCATGTCGTCATCTTGGTACAAAACTGTTTTGAGATGTTAAGTTGCTGCTAATCATTCCACCAGCTATTTATTGAGTACTTTCTGTGTTCCTAGGATTATAGTTAGTCTTGCATTGAACAAGACAGATTCCTCAGGGAGATCCATTATAGAGGAGAGAGTAAAAAAAGAACGAGATCATTTTTGTTTATGTCAAACATAAAAGTAATAAAAAAGGTGATGTCATATTGAATGTGGCGATGTAGGTGGCCTGTCAGGATAGATACTACCCAACATAAGGTGGTTAAGGAAGGCCTTTTTGAGGAGGTAACTGACATTTTAATTGGGACCTGTGAGAAGAGAAGGAGCTAGCAATATGAAAAGCTATGGAAGGTGTCCAGGGAACAGCTAGCTACAAAGGAACTGAAGTGGGACTAAGCCTGGATTGTTTGAGGTTGAGGACGAAGGCCATCCTAGAGCATGAGGGAAGGAGAATATACAAGATGAGGTTCAAAGTATGGGCCATTAAAGCCATGACAAGGAGTTTAGGTTTTTATTCTAATAGAGTTATAGTATAATAGTCCTTAACAGTATGAAAATGAGCCACATCACCTTGGTTCAAATTCCTAGCTCTGCCACTTGGTTTACTTCTCTGTACTTATTTCCATATCTTTTAAATGGAGGTAGTAAGGTAATAAGGTCGATGACAAATTTAAATGACTCAGTATTTGTAAAATGCTAAGCACAGAACCTAGGACATTGTTTTACTTAAATCCTGTGTTTGTAAATATAAGAGTTAAGTAAATAATGAGATACCATTGAATGGTTTTAAGTAGGAGAGTAACTTGATCTTTACATTAAGGAAAAACAAATACTCATCTAGTGTGTAGGAAATGTGTATTAGAGGACAAAACCTGTCTCTTTGGCTTATGACCCATATATTCAACTGCCTACCCAACATCTTTTCTTGAATGCCTTAGAACTGTAGTTCTCAAACTTTTGGACTCAGGGTCCCTTTATTGATAATCACTGTATTAGAAATGGTAAAAAATACCTAGATAACGTTTTTATGAAAAGTATTTTCTAAAACAAAAAATTGAGAAGAGTAACATTGTTTTACTATTTTACAAATCTCTTTAGTGTCTGGATAATAGACATCTGAATTCTTATATCTGATTTTGAATTCACTCTGTTGTGATACTATACATCATGTAGCCTCTGGAAAACTCCAGTGTACATTCATAGAAGAATGAAAGTGGAAAAGACAAATAATCTTTTGGTATTATGAAAATAGTGTCCATCTCCTGGACCCTTGGAGGTCAGTCTTCAAGATATCCCAGAATGTCCAAAACTAAACTCAGTCATCTCCCTGAAATACATTTTTCATCTAGTGTTTCTGAACTCAGTAAATGTTTCTGTAGCCTGTTAACTGCCAAGCTATCTTGGGGTACTCTTATGCCCACATTGATTTAATTGCAAGTCTTAATTGATTCTTTTTCTTACCTGTTTGGACAGTCTCTTCATTTTTCTGCCAGTGAACTTGAATCCAGCTGGACATTTCCTACTTCTAAAGTATTTCTGTGTTTATAAATATGAATTCTGTTGTACCTACCAGAAATATTTTTTTTTTTTTGAGACGGGGTCTTGCTCTGTAGCCCGGGCTGGAGTGCAGTGGCCAGATCTCAGCTCACTGCAAGCTCTGCCTCCCGGGTTTACGCCATTCTCCTGCCTCAGCCTCCGGAGTAGCTGGGACTACAGGCGCCCGCCACCTCGCCCGGCTAGTTTTTTTTTTTTTGTATTTTTAGTAGAGACGGGGTTTCACCATGTTAGCCAGGATGGTCTCGATCTCCTGACCTCGTGATCCGCCCGTCTCGGCCTCCCAAAGTGCTGGGATTACAGGCTTGAGCCACCGCGCCCGGCCACCTACCAGAAATATTTAAAGCACTCATTGGATAATGTCACATTGATTCTCAGAAGATCTATTACGTGGGTGTCTAAGAGTACTTCTCTTTTACCCCGGGGAAATTTAAAGACCAGAAATCAAAATAGTAACAGAGGTATTATCTTATTCATCCCTGAATATAGACTGGTTGACTAGTAATGTCCACGATAAAAATAAATTTTAAATGACTTTTAAAATTTCTTCCTACGCTTTTATCAAAAGGATAAAAATCATTAAACATATTAAAGGTATAAGCAGTACTGTGAGCTTGCATTGAGAGAGAAAAGTACATGATTGATTTGCCTCTATTTTAGACTTAATACATTCATCCAGCATGTTTAAGGTGCCTAGTGAAACAAGGCTTTTCAGCTCTTCTGAAAATTCCTTGTAAATCTTTTTGGAGCCAGAAGAGGGCAGAATCTTATTTCTTAAAATAGTGACAAAGAGATAATTGCACAAAAAGAAAGACCCAAGTTAAAAAGTATCTGATTTTTCTCATTACCTATTCTTTTCAGTGTAATATGCATATTCCCATTTTTTTACTGGAATTGTCTGAAAATAAGTTAACATAAACATATAGTTTTAGCAAATGGAATTGTTGATTCTTTTTACAGGTTGCGTATCCCTTATCCAAAATGCTTGGGACAAGAGGTGTTTCCAGTTTTAGATTTTTTTGAATTTTGGGATGTTTGCATTGTATTTACCTGTTTAGCATCCCTGATCTGAAAATCTGAAGTCTGAGATGCATTTCTTATGTGTCATGTCAGTGCTGAAAAGGTATTGGATTTTGGAACACTTCGGATTTTTGGATTAGGGATACCCAACTTGTATTGTGTAAGAAGTGAGTATTAGTTTATGGTTTTCTTTCAGTTAGGAAATTTTTTAATATATATATAGCTTAAATAATGGGGACTTTAAAAATGAAATGTGGAAGGCATATAATTTAGTAGGGCCTACAGAGGCTGAAAAGACTGAAGATATATTGAAAGAACATAGATATTTTTAATTAAGCTAAAATTTATGTACGTAAGAATATTTGGCAAGTATCTACTATATGCCACCCCTGACTTGGGGCAAATGGGAAAGTAAGAGAAAAATCAAAGATAGGAAGAGAAAACTTACATTATCCTTTTGGGACTTCCTTTTGAGACTTCACTTAAAGAGTTCGTAAAGTAATTGGGAGATTAGTCAGAGAGCAGTAAATGACCATGAATAATCAAACTCCAAGGAATGTGGTAGAAACCATTTGGCGTTCGGAATCTAGTAGTTTTATGACAGCTTCATGTAGAGGTAGAATCTGAGCTAAGCCTTAAGATTTAGGTAAGCAGAGGAAAAAGAATTGGCAGGCTCAGGAAGTAACTTGGGCAAGGAGTGGGGAAGACACAGGGGACACAAACCTGGTTGGAGTCGGTTTCCTGTTGAGGAAAGCAGGTTGAGCAGATAGGACAGATACTATATTTTGCAATGCCTTCAATCCTAGGTCAGGTAGTTTAGGTTTAATACTGTAGATAAATAGTAGCTACTATAGATTTATTTAATAGTAGTTTTTACAAGATTTGTAGATAGAATAGATTTGAGGCTGGGGAGGCTGGAGAGACAAGAGAACCTCTTATAGTCAAGATGAGTTGAGAAGAACCTGGGCTAAGGAAGTAGTGGTAGGAATATAAAGGAATAGAATTTGAAAAGATTTCAAGAGAGAAATGTAGAGTTCCTTGTGACAGAATTGACCTGGGAATAGCAGATTAAGAGACAAAGACAATGCCATACGTCTAGTAAAGAACTAGAATTGTAGGTGTATCAAGGGTAGAAATAGGGAGATTGGAAACCAGTGAATTTTCATCTATGCTTTGAGTTTTACTAGCCTCTGAATGGACTGTAGGTACTGAGCTGAGTTTTTCTTTCAGGAGTATATAACTTGGCTTATGGTCTACTACCTCAGTCATGACCAAGAAAACCTAAAGAAAAATATAAGTACAAAGGCTTCCAGAAGTTTAAATCTACTTACAGTAAGGGCTCTTAAGAACCCAAGGTCTTTGAATGTCTTGAAATTATAAAATTTTAGCTGTGTACATTGTTTCTGGGAATTGGGTCCATCTATTTCTTTAGAATCACAGAGACATCTATATCTTAAAAAATAAAAAGTTAGGAATCGTTGATTTGGATGTAGGAATAAATTAGAAGAATGAGGTTTGTGTCTCAGATTTACTAGCTACAAGATTTTATTAAAAATAAAGAAATTATGTCTATAACTATACATGTGTTTTAAATTAGTGCGACTATGCAAATACAAATTGTTTTAATAATTATGGCAGAACAGATATAACCTATCCACAATCTTTTCTGATGGTGCATTGAGTATAAATAATCCCTCTAGGTTCATCTCTAGCCTAACTCTCATTCTTGGGCTCGTCTAGTATACTAGACCTTCTCCAAGACCCATGGATGATTGCTTATATAATTGAATACTATCCTCTTATCCCACAGGTATAAAAATATTTTTTTCTTTTCTTCTGAGGTATGGTCTCTTGTTACATTAACAAGTAGTATAGGTATACATCTTTGGGGCGTAAGTAGAAGAGATCATCTTCAATAATCTCAGCAGTATTATTCAACTTAAGATGCTTGAGTCTAGTTGTGAAATGTCAACACATTTAAATCCAAGCACTAGGGATTTGTAAAGCAGAAAAGACCTTGACTCCATGTAGTCATATATTACTGCAGAAAATGTTCTGCACTTTTGTGAAGGGAATTTGGCCATCTGCTTTTCCTTTCATTTTATTTTCATATGAGTTTTCTGAAGTTGGAATTTTTGGATAGTATCTTCATTTTTGTTTTCCTGTAAAATACTACAAGCTATATGTATGGGAAAAACTAGACTTGATATAAAAATTAGACCGGTTCAGAGTAACAGTGTTTTACTCTAATTCAAGCAGATTATTACATTATCACTTAATAGTAAAACTATCTGTTGGCTACATGAATTTGTTTGGTACTTGGTTTGAAACACTGAGTACATTCCAAAACATAGCCAAGTTGGCTTCAGTTCATGTACAACAGATTGCCTGCTGCAAGTATAAATAATCATATTTTTAATTGAATCACTTTAATGTTTTTCTTTATATATTTGAGGAAAAATAGAAAATAGAATGTGTGTTATTAAGGAACATTATTTTTCTTACTCTTGGCTTTATGTTAACATTCTTAAAATATTTTTGACTTTGTACTCTTTCTTAGTAGACTGCTTTCTGATAAAACATTTCACTGTTTTCAGAGTTTCACAATTTTGCCAAAATACAGTTATAAAAGCATCTCTACTGGCTGTCTTCATAAGACAAAATTCCATATGAAGATAGGCCTCCAAAAAGAAAATTTGGCTTCTAAGATTTAGAGTGCCAGCTAAATTGGAATGTTAACAGTTAGAACTGTTTTTTGTAAAAAATGAATGTATTTCTCACTCCATGATCTTTATATAATATATATGTTTAAATACATTTATAGTAACTGTCTGGAGGTTAAGACTAATTCAGTTCTTTTTAGGATAGACTGTTAGGCAATAAAAATAAGACTATATTTTAAACAAGAAAATGTTCATGTGCCATAATATTTATAGTAAATTATATAACAGTTTTAGATGATGTCGTATGTTACACTGTATAAACTCTTTTCTTAAGCCAGACTCTTTGTATATATTATCTTTCAGTGGTTGTACACAGTGGTATAGTGTTTCACTTGATATGATTTTAATCACTGTTAGGTTGAACTTGAAAGAAAGTTGGAATCTGCAACTAAGTCTAAACTGCATTACAAGCAGCAGTGGGGACGAGCTTTGAAAGAACTTGCCAGACTTAAACAGGTATGTAGTTTATAGCTTATTCTTTTTATATCTTTTTCCCTTGTTTCTTTGCAAATTCGCGTGTTTGGCAATATCTGTTACATTCAGATGTCAGCATTTGAATATTGCTATTTTTGAGATTAGAGGTTTTTATAAAAATATGTTATAAAGGCAAGATCTTTCTTTTTTATAGTTAGAAACAATTGTGTCTTTTAAAAAAAAAAATGCCAGCTATCCCTTTCCCCAGAAGAAACTGGGAATAATTTATTTTACTTTCACTTATAAAACAACCACTCTTTTCTTTCTTAGGATTAAACTTTCCACTGGGAGTGCCTTTTAGGACGAAATTTAAGGATAACTTGAACATTTTGTCAAGTTTAAGAATATATTTCAAATGTTATTCTTAAGACACAGTAATTCAGTCAAGAAAAGGAATTACAAGGAATTTTTGCATGATTTTTAAAGAGTTTAAAAACCTTGATAGAAGTTTTCTGAATTGTTATATTTTTTTTTCTTTCCTGCTACCAATCAACAAATGCTGTGTGCTTCAGAAGAAATTAATCTTAATTTTGGACATATTTGATCTTAATCATTTGAAGAAATTATGAATAAGATTTTTATTTTGAATCTAACCCTAACTGACCTAAATCTTTTAGAGAGTAATAATGGTTCGTTTATTCCAAGTTCACTTTTACTTAATGTGTCAGTTTTATTCTGAATGAAATTTCACACATAGGGTCTTTCAAGTTTGTAGTTTTCTTAATGTGTCTCCATAAGCGTCAAATACTATTAAATATCATTATGCTATTATACTAAATGCTTACCCCTTTCATAGAGTACTACCAGTCTACATGAGAATTAAAAACTAGGGTAGATAGTTTACCCTAACATAGATGACAGAGGAGTTGGGATTGTAAGCATTACAAATGAAGACAGGTAGATATAGATATAAAATAATGTGCCATGTGACTATGTTAATACTGACAGGACTAAGGATAGACATTATGTATAGTACTAAGAGTCTCCTGTATTGAAAGCAGTGTCTTACATGTATAATAAGTATAAAATAATATTATACCAGGTGTAAATCTATGCAAGACATTGGCCTTTCCATCACGGAGCTTGCAATTTAGTAATAAGGAAGAAACCATAAATATAAAATTTACTGCCTAATAGTAAGAGCCTTGACGCAGACCATATAGAGTACTCAGGAGTTGGAAAGGTGTCATAGGAGAGGAGGTATTTGTGATAGGCCTCTGGAGATAGATACTTAAGATTTTAATAGAGGAATTGGTTGTGATTTAGGAAAGTAGTGGGGGAAATGTGAATATACTGAATAGAATGATCATAGCAAAGAGGCATAAAGTGGGAAAGCATAGGCTCTTCTTATAAAACAGAGGAGGACCCGTTTTCTAAGTCATTTCTGGTGATAAGGGCTGGAACTTAAGTAGTAGCAGTAGCAATGCAACAAGAAGATTCTTGTCAAAGATGATGCCAAGGGCCCAAGCTTCAGTGTCTGGTCCAGTTTGGGAAATATAGTTACGAAAAAGCTGTTTGGAGGGTGGGAAGGAGATAGGATTTGCAAATTTGGATGTTTTAATTTTTACAGAATGAAATTTGGCTACCAGTTAGAAAGAATGATTGGGCTTAAAAATAGACATAAAGGAATCCTTTGCAGAGGTAGTGTTTAAAGTTGTGCCAGCTAGAACTTGGAATTCTTATGTTTAAGAAAGAAAAAAGAAAGCTAATGAAGGAAATAACAACTAGAGAAAATGTGAAGATCATTATGATGATACTGGTAGAGCAATTAGCGTGTATTGAAGGCTTACTTTGTGCCAAGTGTAGCACTAAGCCCTTCAGAATTTATCATTTAATCGTGACAAAGATCCCTATATAGCAGGTAATATTCCCGTTTTATTAGGTTGGTGCAAAAGTGAAAGTGGCAAAAACTGCAATTACTTTTGCACCAGCCTAATAGATGAAGAAACTGAGACTTAAAGAAGTTAAGTTTCATGTGATCACATAGGTACTAAGTGATAGACCTAGCATTGAAAGCTTTTGAGGAATCCAGCCTGAGGCTTCTTTCCCTTTTATGATATTATGGTCTTAGTCCATTGAAGTCAAGGAATGAAAGAATTTCTAGAAGAAAATTAGCCACTCTGACAAGAGTACTGAGTTAGGTGAGTTGGTATATCCTAAGAAGGAAAATGGCATCATTGACCACAAGAGAGACCCGGTCTGGTAATGAGAATTAAAGTGATTTTGAGAGAGAAGCAGCTAATATATGGTCCTGCTGCCAAGATATTTAAGTTGCATATAGTATAATAGAGAGGAGTCCCTGTGGAATTGGGGCCAAGGAAATATGATGAGAATGGCTGTTAAAGGTAACAAGATATAAACTCCATCAAAAGCAGCATAAATAGTAGTTAAGAACATGACCCTGGAGTCAAGAGAGCTAGGTTGAGTTTTGGTTCTACCTCTCTAACTTCTCTGATTAGTCTCTTCATTTGAACAATGAGAAATTTTCTTCCACAGGTTATTCTGAGAATTAAACGAGTGGTTTTAAAGTGTGTATTTAATACAGTGTTTTATACATAGTATGTGCTCAGTAAATGTTAAGTAACTTGTTAAAAAGAGATGAGCCATAAAGCCATTCTGTGGTGGTGGTGCGTTCAGTCAATGGGGACCTAATTGGACAGTAGCTTTGGATATTGATGAACAGAACAAATACTAGAGGGCTCTGTGACTGAGAGTCAAAATTCTTAAGTGTGCATAATTGAGGGATGTTGTTTTGCAGTGATAGTTAGACATTCTGTAGAAAACTACAGAAGGAAAAAGTATGAAGGGCTAAATGTGCAGATGTGCAAGAGTGTCAGTAGGTAAACTTCCCAAGTTTGAGTATAAAGGAATGTGAGTACATTGAGATGAAGAAACATCTGTAGTTAGTTCATACTTTCATTCATTCAGCAAGTGCTTATTGAGAGCCTGCTATGCACCTTGCACAGTGGGATGCTATGGATATAGCAGTTGCTCCCATGTGGAACTTAAAGTTCACCTAGGAGGACTGATACTTAGAATATAGCAGGGTGTTAAGAAATGTAAATGAAGTCAGCAAGTATTAGAAAAACAAGGGGACCACTGGGGGCTATCACCACATATGTCACTCAAAGCTAAGGGAGAAATATTTCAAAGAGAAAATGCTTCAAATAACACTACTAGATAGGAAATCATTTCAAGTTTTTAAAAGGAGAGTAGAGGGGGAAGAAGTGGAAGATAGTGCTTCCATTGAAGAAGCTGAGTAGTGAACAGTCATTACACATTACCCAAATCAGCTGAAAAGGGAGAAAACTGTTAACTATTGGTTAGGGCATTTTCTGTGGAGAACTGAATAATCATTAATTATTGAAACTTAATCTCATTATAATTGATGTGTTTTTTTATTGAGAAGTATCTATGCAAGAACTTTTTACTTTGTCATGTTCATGTGTGTATATTATAGATTACATTCTTTAAGTTTTTCACCATTTGAGGTAGTTTCAAAAAATATAAGTAAACAAACAGTGTTCTGAATAGAATCCCCCAAATTCCTGGCTTTTGATTAGTTTTACACTGGGGTATTGAAGGAGTCTCCTTTAAAAGAAGATTCAGTGTGAAAGGCTCCAATGTAAGAATTCCTCCTTCCTAACACACACATCCTCATATACTTTTGTTATCTTCTGGATCTTTTTTCCATTTAATCCATTTTTTATTTAACCTTCTTCCTGTGTATTTCCTACCCTCTTGCCCAAAAAGCATTGCAAAGTAATTTTAGCTATTTTATTCAAATAAGGAGGATATCACATTCAGATACGTTTTGTAAAGAAAAGGAAAAAAAAAGTTTTAAATTAGTGGTTCAATTCTGAAACTTATACTTCATGAAAGAAAAGTTCTTTGAGTGCAGAGATGCTCATTGCTTTTTCATTGCAAACCAATTTAATCCTTATCCCACAAACTTTCTGCTTTAGAGGCACCTCTGTAAACACATTTTGAGGTCACTAGGAATCACTGATGTTCTGCAGACTACACTGAGATGCAACACTTTAAGAAGAAAAGTAATAGACCTTGGGGTTACCATAGTGAGTTGTGCTCTGCCCCTAACTGTTTTAGTAAGATTAAAATTAATAACTTCATCAAATAGGCACATTTCATGTGTGTGAAAATTACTCAGTTTTTTTTCCTTAAATTTTTTATTAAAAACACATTTATTGTGCTTGAATATAATTTTGGAATCATCTATCTGGTTTTGTTCAGAAGATTGTGCAACTTCTTGTTTAAATTGGATTAGTACCATGTTAATTTTACATTGCCTCTGGTGAATAGCCACGGGGCTGTAATCTCTGCCAGTAATTTGTCACATCAAAACCCTCTGGAGAGCCATACAAAACATTTGTGTAGTACGGATTAGATGGTGAAAGCCATATCTTAGATTGTTAATAAATGTTAATGACAAAACCCAGCTGGTAAAGCTTGGAAATAAGACCTAATGCTTGGTGCCCATTGCCAGAAGAATGTTTAAACAGAGATTTCCATTACTCGAAGGTGACCCAGAATAGTAAATTTGTGAATTAAAAAATATAACCTTCTAACTATTTTGTAACCTTCTAATTATTTAGAAAAAAATCTTTTCTTTTGATTTGCAATTGTAAAAGCCTGTTTCCCAGTGGAAAGCTTTTTTGTTCTTTGGTAACTGGGAAGGCAACAGCTGTAAAATATAAATAAGCATAACATAAAATGAGTCCTGATTTAGAAAACAAGGAAGTGATACCCTTAAGTTTGATATCATGGGACAAAGTTAAAAGTTCTACTTGTTAGACTTGTAAGAGGTAATTTAGTTTCCTTTTTTCTTCTTCAAGATATACTATAGAAATATTTTAAAACCAAAAGAAATACTTGAATTGCATTGGTCTACAAATACTCACGTAAAGTTGTGTGCTTTCCTACTTGTGCTCTAAATAACCTATTTGCATGTTTACTTAAAAACA